CCCGAATGCATGTTTAGAACCTCACGTAGAAGAAGGGTTCCTACAGAACAATTAAAACCCCCCGGAGATGCTCGATCGCATTAAAAACCACTCTTGCAGAACGCTCTTCTCGGACAATCGTGTGGGACACTCTTGCGTGACACTCTTGTGGCATACTCTTGTGAGACACTCTTGTGGGACACCTTTAGTTGACACTTTTGTGAGACACTTTGGCCTGACACTCTTGCTCGACACTCTTGTGGCACACTCTGGTAAAACACTCTCTCTCAATACTCTGAAACACGCTTGTAAGACACTCTTACTCTTGCTTGACACATCTGGAACACCTCGCAGTACTACTTTGTACCACAAAATCCACAAAGCGTCCACACAGCACCTCACAGTAATACTTTATACTGAAAATCTTGCACAGAGTAATTCTCAGTACTACTTTGTACTACAAATCTTGCACACAACACTTCCCAGTACCACTTTGTACTACAAAGTTTGCACAAGGCACTTCCCAGCACTACTTCGCACTCCAGACGCCACACTCCACACTTAACTCTCCGCACATCACACTCCACACTCCACACTCCACACTTCCCAGTCCACACTTCACACTCCACATTCCACAATCCACACTTCACGCTCAATACTCCAAACTCCACACTGCACACTCCACACTTCACACTCTACACACTTGACGCTCCACACTCCACGATTCACACTTCACACTTCACATTTCGCACTCTCCACTCCATACTTCACACTCCACGCTCCACACCCCACACACTCCACACATTCCACGTTTCACATTTCACACTTCACACTCTCCACTCCACACTCCACACTTCACACTCCACTCTTCGCACTCCCTTTCACGCTTCACACTTCACACTCTCCACTCCACACTTCACATTCCACACTCCACGCTTCACACTCCATTTCACACTTTGCACCCTCCACACCACACGTCACACTTCACACTTCACATTCTACACTTCACACTTCACACTTCACACTTCACACTTCACACTCAACACTTCACACCTCACACTCTCCACTCTCCACTCTCCACTCTCCACTCTCCACTCTCCACTCTCTCCACTCTCCACTCCACACTTCACGCTCCACATTCCACACTTCACACTCCACACTTTACACTGCACACTTCACACTCCACACTTCACACTCCACACTTCACACTCCACCACTCCACCACTCCACACTTCACACTCCACACTCCACACTCCACACCTCACACTCCACACTTCACACCCCACACTCAACACTCCACACTTTCCACACCGCACTCCACACTCTCCACTCCGCACTGCACACTCCACACTCCACACTTCACACTCCCTTTCACGCTTCACACTTCACACTCCCACTCTCCACTCCACAATTCACACTCCACACCCTACACTTCACACTTCACACTTCACACTCAACACTCCACACTTCACACTCTGGCTCCACACTCCACACGCTCCACACATTTCAGACTTCACACCCCGCACTTCGCACTCCACTTCACACTTCACACTTCACACTTCACACCCTCCACTTCACACTCCACATTTCACACTTTGTTTGCACCATGAACTCCACACTTGGCACTTCACACTCAACACTTCACACCTCACACTCTGCACTGCACACTTCACACTCCACACTCAACACTCCACACTTTCCACATCATACTCCACACTTCGCACTCCACAAACTGAGCTTCACACTTCACACTCAACACTCAACACTCCCCACTCCACACTCCACGCTCCACACTGCACACTCCACGCACCACACTTCACACTCCACGCTCCACACTCCACACTGCACACTCCGCACTTCACATTTCACGCTCCACACTTCATACTCCACACTTCCCAAAACACACTGCACACTTCACTTCACACTCCAAAATTCCCACTTCACACCCCACGGTTCACTTTTCACACTGCTCACTTCACACTCCACACTTCACGCTTCACACTCTCCACTCCACACTCCACACTTGACAGTTCCCACATCACACTCCACACTCTCCACTCCACACTTCGCACTCCACACTCTGCGCTTCACACTTCACACTCAACACTCCCCGCGACTTTGTACTACAAGGCTTGCACAGAGTAGTTCCCAGTACTGCTTTGTACTACAAAGCTTCCAAAAAGCCCAGTACTACTTTCTACTGCAATGCTTGCACAAAGAACTCCCCAGTACTACTTTCTACATCTTTCTACTACAAAGCTTGCACAAGGCACTTCTCAGTACCGGGACGATGCGATTAGAGAATAAAACCAAAACGACGACCAAACAGTCCACCACTCCCAAACCCCCAAGAAAGAAAACAAGAACCCTTCGCCACGCATTCGGGAACAAAGAAATGACATCATCCTCATGCTGACGCCCCATGATGTCCCTTTTGAAAAGAACTTGTTTCGAAGGAATAGAGATTCCGGACTGATGTGTAGAGCGCATAAATGGTTGATTCATGTTGGTTTCAAGCAGGGCGGACTGAAACTACCCAAAATCCAGAGTCCTTACCAACAACGCAAGGAAAAGAATCCAAAGCTCCAGGGTGTTGGAAGAACTTCTTGAAAACAAGGTGTTCGATGCTATCTAAACAGCATGAAAACCCAAAAACCCCTTAGAGATCAAATAGGCTTGGTTCTTTGTGACGCGCCCATGGCGAGACATCCATGTCAGCAGTTTCCTCGACCTACTGTGGATAGGTTACTCATTAGTTGAAAAGGATTCGCTCAATGAAGATTAAAGTGCCAAGCTGAAAGCATACACACAACCAGCAACCAACGACTATGGCATGTTATGGCCGCTGCTCATGCACCTCTGGGATGCCACGCGAAATATGAGCCCATACCAAGTCCAGTTGCTACGGTGATCGATGTATTTTCCATGCGATAAAGAGGAATTCGATCCTTAACAAAAGTGTTTCCGACACGCCGGCCGTTGGATGAATGTCTTGCAACAACCAGTTTTCCTCGGACAAAAGCATTCTGCAAATTCAGCCCTTTCAGATGCACATGTTTTTTTCTTTCAGCTGGGTTGTCAGCCACCTCCTGCAATTGGTACCGCGTATGAGACCTGCGATCAGCAACTTAAAGTGCCAAACAACGAAATAATCAGAAGTCACAATTAAGATGCGGAATAGGATGTGTCAAGTTCGATTCTGTACCTTTCGGCAATCATCAGCTGTGCTCCTGGCATCCACAGGCGGAGCTCTGGATGGACCTGTGAGCTTCAGAAGACGCATGCGCGTAAGACACATGAATGCACTTAGCCCAAGCTACAAATCTTGCAACCAAGAATAGTCCAAGCTGGATGTGATATCTTGTGAATTGTTGTGATCTTTTGTGATGCAGCATTGCACTTTGTGAATTGTTGTGATCTTTTGGTGTTAGAAATTAGATGCTTTTTTCGCTGAGAAGTCTCGCCTTCTGTAACTCTTGCAAGTTTGGTCGGGAGATTCGAGCCCAGCTCTCTGGGCCTTCCTCGGGTGTGGGCTCAGGCCCGTGCGAAGTATCATGAATGGTCACAAGCAGTCACTGACACAATAACGAGCTACATTTAAACGAAATCAATCCCAAAAACCGAGGTTCCTTTTCAGCTGGAGGGTACATGGCTTCAAAAGCGATACCCCTGTCTGTTCTTTGCTGAATGATGCTGAATGTAGGGGGTTGCAAAGCGCTGTACGGTGGACTTTGGGTTTCAGACCGTTTCGTAACGATTGTTTCATGACAGAAGCAAACAAGCGCGTGTAACATGAGATAGCGTAACCCGCCGCCAAGCTGTCACTCAACATTGTCATCAATATTAACGGAACTCAACCATGCTAAAAGTAGAGGGACGTTGCGCAAAATTGCGATGCCTCAACAATTGTCTTGGCGGATCTATGTTCTCTGATGAGAAGAGCCAAGCGTGTCTTTTGCTGAGTCTGTTTGAGCCACTCGTGTGGAGGAAGGGATGCGAAGAAACTTCATGGACGGAGTTTGGGGTTTGGCCTGGCTGACACTTTTCGAACGAGCGGTGCTAGCGCTTGGGTCCAAGATGTTACAAAAGGATAATCCGGAGGCCTACAGCTTGGCTCATCACGTCATTCAGAGCTCACCTTCTGTTGGGGTGTGTGTGACTTCCACTGTCCACAATGACATGATGTGTACATGTATCTGTATACAAATATTTATTTATGCGCGTGTGTATACACGTTTCCGAGAATATTGGCAAGCGTGAGACGGGCACACGAAGAATTTGCCGACTCAACAAACAGTCTATCCGGTTCAAACATGTGGTTGAAGGAGGAAAAACTCCAGCCAAGAGGCCTTTGATATTGCTGCAAACAATGATGACGATGACGATGACGATGACGATGACGATGATGATGATGATGATGGTGATGATGGTGATGATGATGACGATGATGATGATGATGATGATGATGGTATATGATGGTGATGATGAAAATGATGGCGATGATGATGGTGATGATGATGATGGTGATGATGATGGTGATCTTTCTTTCTTTCTTTCGTTCTGTCTTTATTTATTTATTGATTTATTTATGTATTGTTATTATTATATATTATTTTTATTTATTATTATGATTATTATGATGATGCTGATGACGACAACGACAACGACGACGACGACGACGACGATGATGATGACGATGAAAATGACGATGACGATGACGATGCCGCTGCCGCTGCCGCTGCCGCTGCTGCTGCTGCTGTTGCTGCCCTGCGATGACGGCGATGATGGTGATGATGGTGATGGTGATGTCGCCCCTGCCCATGCTATCCTTTTCTAGTCTTGCAAAGTCTGTTGGAACTCAGCCGTCTCTGTACAAACGCCGGTCCGACCATCACGCATTCCGACTGATCTTTGGGAGCTGACTTTGGAATGTTAATGCAATGTTAATCATAGCAACCCTCCCTGCTGAGCTAGAGAGTGAGATCCCCACCTTGAAACTGCTGGATTCAAAGGAGGGAAGGGTTTGTTGCAAAATAGCACTTAACTGATCTCATCTGATCTCATGTGATCTCCACACGCGGCTTCTTGCAGGTTCACATGTTGAAGCCCCCGCCCCCGCCGCCATAGTTGATCTTAGCCTGGCAGGTCCGGGGCACTCACAAAGCACGTGGAAAGCAAATCGGAACACTCAAAATGTTTGAAATTGCTCAACTCCGAACCAAGCTCCACAACTGACACGTCCTGAAAGATCAAATGGCTCAGGTTTATCTCGTCGCCTTCTTGACACGAAGAAAAGACTGCACTAGCTGTCAGTTGTTCAAAGCCGACGGAATGGAATGCCAGCGCGACATGCATTTTTTCGTAACCGCAATACGATGCATAAATTGAAGACATATTCTGGTCATGAACCTATGTTACAAAGGCAATGTAGAGCTTGTTTGCAACACGGCCATTAATGGGAGTCCAACAACTCCAGTCACAAATATGTAGTTCTTTTACGCGAATCGTTCCGCTTTGGTCAATCCAACATCATATCAGGAAAGGATCACCCGGAAGCTGAAATCTACAAAAATCTAGAGGTTGCATGAAGACATCCTGTCTAATTAATATGTGGATCCGGAGTAAGCAGTTACGCACCTATGATGTATGAATAGAAAGAGATAGAAATAGCACAAGCGAAGTATCCAAAATGAGCCGTGAATGGTGTAGCCGCTTAGCATAGCTTAGCGGCTTAGTAGTCAAGCACAGCAGCTGCCACTTGGCCTTGGAGAAGTCCATCTCTGGATGAGCTGCCTTGAACTTCTCCAGGAGATCGTGTTGCTTCTCCTCCAACACCAGGCTCACACCAGGCTCAGACGTCTTACGTATCGATATGTATTGAGAATTGATAGGGTGTAAATAGGTGGATATCAAAATTACTAGCATATCACCAAACAAATACGTAAAGCAAAATATAAACCTTTTAGCCGCTTCACAACCACTTAGTATGGCTGACTTCACATACTTTTTGCGCTTTCCCTGCTCATAATTCCTGTCAACTGTTCAGCTTTGGCTTGCTTAGGCTGTGAGGTTGATATTGCCGGATATTGCCGGACAGTAGGTCACTGCTACAGCGCGGCTCTGCCAATCATTTGGGTTTCCCTGATTCGCACAGGCGGACAGGACAGTTTGTCCACATCATGAATTCTAATGCAGCAACACGATTTTCTGGCATGACCCGTCTCAAGTTTGAGAGTCTAAAGAGTGCTCCTGATCCGAAGTTGGTTTCCCCATGGCCTTCTGTCTCTGATCGTACATCCTGGCATGAACTTAGATCAACATGAAAATGCATGCTATGCAGTTTGGCACACGAGGACAGCTAAAACACTTTCTAAAATTTTCCACCACTCCCACAAATCTGCCACAGAGACATCTTCTCTACTGTCATTCCTCGGCAACGCGCACCAGTTGCTTTGACTCGTTCACACTGTGATTTCATATGATCATAGGGCAAACAATTTGCAGGGGACCAGCGCCCCCTTGAACTTAGGAATAAAGAAGAAATTGGATAAATGGAACGAAAACAAATATATAAACGTTCGTTTTTTCCCTCCCGTAGAAAGCATAATTACGTAAAAGAAAACACCATCCGCGTGTTTCGCCCGCCAATGCCCGCCATGTTTGACAGGGGTTTGCTAAACGGAATAACACGTGAGTTACAATAAGCAAGCAATAAGCCACCACCACAGTACCAGTGTGACATTGCAGTATTCGCCAAATATCTTCTTACCAATGTAGGGTACAGAGCCGCCCGTTGCCATAGAACCACCAATGAAGATCAATGAAGACGGTATGCAGACCCGACTTGACTAGTCGTGTGCTACGAGGACATAAGTAGCTGCATTGTGGTGCTTGGTGATGTCACCGTGATGGTGTAGTCATAGCTAGGTCGTTTTAGATTCTTCAAAAGGTTGGGCGCTACCACACACCAATTTCAAGGAACTTCCCGATGACTATTGTGACACGTTGCGACACGTCTCATCGTGGTCAGTTCTGATCTTCTGGGCATCTCTTTTCTGTGAGAACGGGAGCTGATTGAATGAGGATTGTCTCCTCTTGCATGGAGCATATTCGCCGAAAATCACGGCGAATTCTTCCTTCTCAGGAAGTTGAACCCTGGGGCTATGTATGCAAGATTTGTTTGTGCACAAGCTGCCAAGCGCTGTCCAAAAATCAAGCTGTGAAAGTCGCTGGATTTTTAAGCCGATTTCCATAAATCAAACTCCGACGAAGAAATGGGAGACAAAAAGAGAACATTTGGAACAAAAGCCACCCAGACAGGACACGCTCCAAAACTCCTTATGAAAGCAGCCCAAACAAAACGCCCCAACAGTGCCATGGCTTGAAAGGATGAAGACAAAAAATTGGTGTAGATCTGCTGACAGAAAATCCTTCACGCGGAAGCCTGAATCACGGGAAGGGGGAGGAAAAGTTGGCAAACAAGTGAGAAGGCAAGACAATTTCGCATCCATGCGAAGCAGCTTCAGAAAGGGCAGCTTCAGAAAGGGCAGTGGAAGGAACGAAGTAAGACAAATGGGGATACATCGGAAACAAAAAAACATATAAAAACCATACATATGTCACTGGGCAGCCAAGGAGGGATATAAGGAAGACGAGATGAACATTGGGAAGAACAGCAAACTGTCTAGCTACAAAAACAGAGCCAAAATCATGAGCACCAGTGCACCCAAAGCCAGAAGACAAGTAGGAAGACAAGGCCAAAATCATGTTATGAAGAGAAACAGCAAAAACAGAGAGAATTGTGTGTTCAACCACAGAATGCAGGCTCAAAGAAGTAAATGAAAAGGCTGCACTGATTTCCGAAATCCCGGAATGCATGCTCAACATGTGGCTTCAAACCACTAGTCCGTATGTTTTGCAAAGGGTTTCAAAATCGTGCAAGGAATCAATTTTCAATAGGAATTCGAAAGATGAGCTGATGTCAGGTTTTGTGTTCTATGTCTGTCGCGCTTCACTTTCCCTACCAAAAGCTGTTCAAAAGGAATACAACAACGAAAGAGGAATGTATGCCAACATGTCTGCTCAAACCGTTCAAGGCCCATATGGTTCAAAACAAATCATCTGGCCACGCCATGTTTACGGCATATCATTCGTTCTGTATTCAAATATCCCAAGGATCCGGGGATCACAATTGCTCATCATCCAACCAAACGAGCTGAGAAGACTGATGCAGACTGTGCCTGGCAAAATGTTGATCCCTAAAAGCTAAAGCCTGAAACTTGTTGTAGCTTGTATCTTATTGCGGCTGCAAGGCTATTGAAAGATGCAAACCAAGAGGTAGCACTCGATAGACTCATTCACTATGTCCAAGACATATAAACACAATCTGCAACTGGGATGCTATGTTGCAAATTTCCACTACATTAACGGTTGCTTTATTTGCCACATTTGGAAACACAAGCAAAGGAGCCTTCCATACATCATTCCCTTATGAGTGCTTCTAGTGATGAGCTCGTTTCCCACTGGGCAGTGTTGCTTACGATGCGGATGGCATGTGAAGAACCCCGCCCTTTTTGTCCAGGGCCCCGTAGATGCTTCTGCACGTGACGAAAAATCCTGAGGAAACCCTGCTTTCCTTGGAATAAATTCTGACATTGTCCCAAATGCGGTTGCTCATATTTTATTTGGGTGGCTGTGGGCAAGTCAAGCTGAAACCGTAGCGCGCAGATCTGAATTGCAATGCGAACAACAGCTTTTTCAGGGATTGCTTGGTATTCTTGGTAGCTACTTTTGGCACAGACCAAATACCTTTACCAAATGTGCCACCAACATGATGGGCTGAGGGAAGATCTACAGCATATGATTCTTGAAAAGGGAGTTGTCCCCTAAACCTTATGTTTGGATGAAATTTGTTTAAGCACCGTCTTAATTATAATAGAAAGGACGAATGACATAGACACTAGATAGGTTGCTGTGTCTTCCCATCAAAATCGCTAATTACTGCTGTCAGACTACGTAAGCAATACCCGAACAAATCTGTAGGGGCAGTGGTGCAGGGCCTGGGTCTTACAATCCTGCACCACAATAGACTCTAGAAAGTCGGCCGCGCGAACTGTTACACCAATAAGTGATGAGAAAACTCGAACGGGAGACACACCATTCCATACAAAACTATGCCCAAATGCACCCACGCGCCAAGAAAATCTCTCAAGGCCAAAGTTACAAAACATCATGCGTCCCAGCCAAGCAGCCTACCATTAAGCTCCATTAAACCATACTAAACCTTCTTGGGGAGTTGCACCTCTACACCAAGGTCACGGTCCTACACCCTGTGGAGCGAACGTTCGCTCAAAGTTTCATTAGGGGGTTAAGGTTGGTTTGGGGGTTACCGGGTTATCTGGGCTTCAATTGGCTCGGGATTTGCCCGATTTAGAGTCTATTTAAAGTTGCTTGGGGCTATTTAAGGTGGTTTTAAGGTGTTCAGGGTTTATTTAGGTTCGTTTCAACGGACTTAGGATTTACTGCTGTTGATTTGGACTTGGTTGGGTTTGTCTAGGGTTGGATTAATTTCGGGTTCTTTTAGGACTTTACGGTTTGTGAATGGTTTCAATTCAAGGCTCGAAACACTGCAAATTACGGAGAACATGTTTAAGACATTTTAAGACATGGTCCAAAGATGGTTTTGGCACCGCCTTACGAAAGTGCAAAAACACCAAGAGATGCGGGTAAATATCAATATGTTGTATGTTTGCTATTTGCGAAAAAAGCACCCTCCGAAGCAACACAGAAAATTGCAGCCCGCATGGGATTCGGCTGGTCTCAGGCAAGCGCCACACCCCTAGCGATAATTCCACATGAATTCTCTATATTTCTCTATCGCAAACCTCAAAACCACACCGCTAAAACGGCCAAGTCAGCTAAACCAGTAGAGGGATGTAGAGGGTTTTCACCTGATTGTCCAAGCTGCTGGTCTCACCGTCCAGATCTGAAAGCTTGGAATTCTCGGGCACGATCTTCCTTTGGACGTTGTCCGCCACACCAGAACACAAATGCGACAAGAAAAGGTAGGAAATTGCCAGAGTTGCACCAGAATGCACTGAATGTATGTCCATGAAGTTGCAGCTGAATGGAAAACAGAATCAATGAATATGAATGAATCACATCAACTATGAAACATCAGAAACCAGTTTGACCCAAGCTTCTTTGTGTCAATGCCAGGATCTCCCTCCATGACACAATTCCACCACCTCAGCGAAATAAATCTTGGAACGGTTCAGGACCATCGGCAAACATTGGCACGCCTTTTGAAAGCAGGGGATTGACGTAAGATGACCTAAGAATCGAAATCGACATCTAGAATTCACTTCAGGACCATCCGTAGGTCTTTTCACTTCATCACAGCGTGCTTCATACATCTTCAAACCACGGCACCTTTGGACCTTTGGACCTTCAGAAGTGTGCAAGGGCTTTAGTTTTCTTCCATTCCAAATTCCGCGCCGGCTAGATGGCGCTGAAGTTTGCAACCAAGGCAAAACCAGAAAAAGTATATCGATCTAATATGTTGCAGAGAAAAAAGACTCGATGTTGCGATCTTCGTGCTAGTTCAGACATGCCAATGCCAAGAAGTACCACGCTGTCGCGCACGAAAATGTCTTGCATCTGAGCCATCCAACTTCATGTTGTCGAACTTCTCCAGGGTGATTTGGACCTTTTGGGTGTGTTTTCCCGCACACTTGGATTCAATTGGACAAAACAGTTCTGCCCCTTTTTTAGCTGCAGCCAACACAAGGAAAGTCCCCCACAAGGTCAAAACATCTTGCATCATCTTGCATCATCTTGCATCATCTTGCATCATCTTGCATCATCTTGCATCATCGTTCATCATCTTTCATCATTTTTTATCGTCTTTCATCGTCTTGCATCATCTTTCATCATCTTTCATCCTCTTTCACCGTCTTCCACCGTCTTTCACCGTCTTTCATCGTCTTCCATCATCTTTTATCATCTTTCATCATCTTTCATCATATTTCATCATATTTCATCATTTTCATCATCTTTCATCTTGTTGCATCATCTTGCATCATCTTGCATCATCGTTCATCATCTTTCATCATTGTTTATCGTCTTTCATCGTCTTGCATCATCTTTCATCATCTTTCATCATCTGTCACCGTCTTTCACCGTCTTTCACCGTCTTTCATCGTCTTCCATCATCTTTTATCATCTTTCATCACCTTTCATCATATTTCATCATATTTCATCATGTTCATCATCTTTCATCTTGTTGCATCATCTTGCATCATCTTGCATCATCGTTCATCATCTTTCATCATTTTTTATCGTCTTTCATCGTCTTGCATCATCTTTCATCATCTTTCATCATCTTTCATCATCTTTCATCATCCTTCATCATCTTTCATCATCTTTCATCATCTTTCATCATCTTTCATCATCTTTCATCATCGTTCATCATATTTCATCATCTTTCATCATCTTTCATCATCTTTCGCATATTTCATCAGATTTTGCAGAAATGAGTGGCTACCATTAGCTAGCGAGTGGGTGACCCGTTGCCTTCCATCTCTGGGTGGCCTCAGGTTCCGACCATCTTGTTGTCGATCAGGGTCCACATGCAATCGTCAGGCTTCACCTCAAAGTTGCAAAGCAGGATGCGTTTTCCAACATTTTCCAACATTTCGACATGATTTGATCATAGCCGCATACGGTGATGATGGAATGACGTTTGAAACTTGGAGACGAATAATAATTCAAATGGGACGGCATGATGAATGAAGGTGCTGGTTTGAGATTGTTGAATCATGAAGACGGCTTGGGTATTGGAAAATGCTGACAAGACTCAAAACAATGATCATGTGTGATAGTGTGATCATGACATATCCAAGGCTTGAGACTTTGGAATGCATCTTGCCATTCAAAATCAGCGGCTCTCCTTTGACACCTCGGATGCATGGCAGAGATTGTTAGCCCAGTGATTTGACAAGGTGATGGATACACACAACAAACGAAACAAGGAATGATATTAAAGGGTACAGCGCTTGATGAAGTAAGGCACAGAAGTGGGATAGTGGTCTGTCTTCTCTGGCGCTGTCAGGGATCCTACTGACGCATCAATGTTCGCGCACACTAAGGAGACCGGCCCAGCTTGAGAGTGTCTCCGCCAATGTCGCACACAATCTGCTTGGCCTTTACCCCTGACAGATCTGACAGCACAGAACACAGGTGGAGGAAAACTGATTCCGACTGAGAAACTAGCGCTGCAATGTTGGCTTGGAACGCGACAAAATCCAATCCCACCATTGTCTGTTGAGCATTCCAGTGGGTGTTGACCATTTGCTTTTAAGGGATTTGAAAGTCTCAAACAAAGTGTTCCTGCAAAGTTCGGCCTGGTGGAACATGGACAAAGACTTCCAGGGCATTGAGCGTCTGTGTCCAGGTATATTTCTCCTGATTCTTTGGCAAAAAACAAAACAGAATGAAAAAATGGAAGATGATGACTGAAAAGCAAAGGTGTTCTGCAAGCGAGTTGCGGTGCTGCCACCGTTGCCCGGCGGGGGAGGCCTTGTCGCAGCTCTGTTTGTTCACGCCAAGTGCTCAATATGCTGTATATCAGCCCTTCCATACTTCATCAGAATAGGTTTTGCAATTCAAAGCATCCGATGCATATCTAAATGTACATGTACGTATGTGTATATATACAATTATATATACACATAATCCCCATCTGGTGCACCCCAGAGAGTCGTGTCCTGGGAAAATAGCTGGGTTATTTTTGGGGCCCTGACCTTTCTGACATTAAAATCCTGCACCCTGACCTTTCTAGCTCGACTTTACATTCTAAGACGAATAAAGTTCGCAGCCACTAAACTCCTGATGCCTAAGGTTTCCAGAAAGGCATTTTTCCCCCTCTGTTATCAATGAAATTCCTGGGTGCCAACCCTCATACAATGCTTTAAAAACAACCCCTCAACATATGCTGTTAATAGGCTAATTTCCTGGGATCCAAGGGTTGCATTTACATACGAACGTGTCGAGCCCATGACAGATTTGACTGGGGGTTATCTGAAGAGGAACCCAAGGCACCTATAATGTATCTATATTATATATATTATATACAGTACACATATCTAGGTATGTATGTATGTCTGTCTGCCTGTCTGTATGAATGTACGTACGTACGTACGTACGTATGTATGTATGTACGTCTGTATGTATGCCTGTATGCCTGGCTGCCTGTCTGGCTGTCTGTCTGTCTGTATTTATGTATTTATGTATTTGTGTATTTATGTATCTATGTATCTATGTATTTATGTATTTATGTATGTATGTATGTCTGTATGCATGTATGTATGTATGTGTATGTATGTATGTATGCATGTATGCATGTTTGTATGTATGTATGTATGTACGTGTGTTCATGTGTACGTGTGTACGTGTGTACGTGTGTCTGTCTGCAAGGGTGTGCGAGTATACGTGTGTACGCGTGTCTGTCTGTCTGTATGTATGTATGGACGCATGGATGCATGGATGCATGGATGCATGGATGCATGGATGTATGGATGTATGGATGTATGGATGCATGGATGCATGGATGCATGGATGTATGGATGTATGGGTGCATGCATGCATGCATGCATGAGTGTAGATACAATATATACACACATACATACACACACATACACACACATACATACATACATACATACATACTTACATTACATTACATTACATTACATTACATTACATTACATTACATACGTACGTACGTACGTACGTACATACATAGATACATACATACATACATACATACATACATACACACACAGAGACATAGATACATAGATACATAGATACATACATACATACATACATACAGACACACATACATACATACATACATACATACACACACACATACATACATACATACATACAGACAAACATACATACATACATACATACACACACAGACATACATACATACATACATACATACATACATACATACATACATACATACATACATACACACACACATACATACATACATACATACATACATAGATACATAGTTGCTTCAACATCCCTTTGAATATCGGACTTGGCTCTTGAAGATGCGCCAGGTGTTTTTCCTCTGCAGTGTCTGGGCCCAGGCTCTTTATCTTCTTTCTCTTCCTGAAAGACAAGTTAGGAATACAGCCAAACACTTCCTTTGGGACGCACCGTCCTTGTCTCATTGGCATGCAAATTCAGAAATGGCATGAAATGGCCATAATCCTTAACCATATGCCTCTTCGCCGTCTCCATCCTTAGCATTTTCTTTGTCCGCCTTGATATGGTGGAGGAGGCGGGAAAGGGGATACACCGACTCTTCAAGCAGTGCGGCAATGGGTACACCATGTGGTGCCCTGCTGAGAGGACCAGAGAACACTTGCACAGGCATACACCTGCTTTCAAATTGTGAAGAATTTGTGGGTTCCGCAATGGGATATGGGAGATAATTGTGGAGAGAACCGCGGCATTGTTGGAATTACATCTGGTTGGGTGCAGAGGTAGTATTTAGAGCATGCTGATCCGGGCATTCACGAGGCCAGAAGGCACAAAACCGGTCGTTTGAACTTCCTCACAAATAACAGAAATTGCTATTTGTATGATTTTGTATGCATTTGTATACATACATCACACATATACCCTTGTATAAGCGTCTTTGGTTTATGTTGCAAAGTATTTGTCAGGCTTGACTATTGTCATGACTGCTCACAAGTAAAAATGTGCTGAGTATGTTGGCGATTGTTCATGCATTTTCCTGAGATTGTCAACACAAACGGCAAAAGTCGCAGGGCAGCCAGCAGCCTTGATCTTCTTCGCTTCTTCGTCAGTGACTTCTTCTATCTTGGGCCTGGCCATGCACAAGACTGAAATCCCAGTTCTTCCATGTCCTTCCCCAGAGACAAGGAGGAGCTTGCAACAGTAGCTGTCAGTAGCTCTGTGCTTCTTGATCAAGGTCGGGTCAAGGTTGAGCCATTTTGTAAAACTTGGCACGTGCAAGACATGCCAGATGGAACGCGCTTTTCATCTTCTCCGCCTTACAACCAGGAACATCAAGGTGCATCAAGGTACATCCGCTGTGTCTTTTAGGCCTCTTATCGCATCACTCATTCGAGGTCTCTAAGATCAGTCACAGGATCATGATCCAGAGGGAAGCCAGGCTTCAGTCCACATTATACTGAAATCACGCGAACTCACAATGTGTTTGTAGTGGTCACTGCAGCGATCCCAGGAAATCTTGGGACACCCGGCCTCCTCCATTCGCTTTCTGTACTCTTCTTCATCCTACAGAATGATTCAACTGCTCGGAGGCTCACGAAACCCAAGGCGTAACACACATGCTTCGACAAATCGTTTCGACAAAGGGTTTCGGCATTTTGGCAGTGGGTTTCAAAGCTCGGGGTTCAGAAGCTGGAGGTGCATTGAACCTGGTGGATCTGACCTGACTTGGCCCAGATCCCGACCGCTCAGAAGCGCATCCCTTCGGATGATTCGGATGCCTTTTGCTTCTTGGTTTCTGCCTTTTTCTTACGCTCTTCATCTGCAACTCGGTTTCTCTCTTGTTGTTCCTTGCAGCGATTTTCCACGGAATGATCTGGCGCACTTCTAGCTGGACAAATACTCCATCACATTAAATGGGTTTGTTTACTACTAACAGATCTAACATCTAGGAATCACTGAACTGCCGCTTCCAGTAAAAAAGCTCTAAAGTTCAAGCGTACCTGCCGTTTCTTTTGCCCAACCTTCCAATGCTTCTTGTAGTACCTAGGACTCACAGGCTCTGAAGATCTCCAAACTACATGACATTGGAAAAAAACAAGTTATTGCAAGTTGTACAGCTAGCTCTAACTGAAAAGATTAACTACAACAGAATACACTCATGTTGACTCTTGATGGCTCAACAAGCAACTTCTGGACCCCAAGGCGCTTCAGCACCATCTGCTCAGCTGCCTCTCAGCATCAATAAATCCAAAGATCAAATGCGTGCCACCATCACAGGCTTCAGACAATCATTTTTTGGCCGTATCCAACAGATTGTGCTGTTCAACGAAACTTCCATGCCAAGCCACGCTTGACAATGGTCTAACAGTAGCTTAGCATGGCTTGGCAACTTAGTGATGACTTGTTAACGGGAAGGTTAAGCTCAAGATGCTCCAGATGCTCAAGTACACGCTGCAGCTGCCTGCTCATCCTGGGCGCCAGTGAAAAAGTCCGTCTTCCGCTGCAGGAAACCAAAGAAGGCATCGAGAATGCTGTCGATGGAGCCCGACTGCAGCAGCATCGAACAGCAAGCAGATGTAAGATCTGATCAAGATCGAATGAGCTGCTCACAAATCCTAACCATTGTTAACTATTACAGAATGGAAGGCCGAATATGTTTGAGCTGTTTTCTCTGTCCAGCCTGCTGTGCAATATTCAACAGGACTCCATCGAATCTCTCATCGCTCCCCTGAGGACGAAGAAAAGAACAAACCACCCTGACACGCTCCGTGTGACGGACCGTGTGACAAATTCCAATCCATTCCTAACAGCTTGAATTTCCAACTGCTATTTGGAGAGCCGAAGAAAATGGGTAATGGGCGGATCTGATTGTGGTGAATCATGCCGGTGCAATGTAGAACACAGCCTCTGTGCTTTGAATATCTTTGAAAGCAATCACAGCAGGCGTCACAGCTCTCTCCCACACAGCTCGCTCGAATGCCTCGGCCATGTGTGGCTCCTGAGCTGTCTTTCAAAACTGAATGCAAATGGCTGCGGCAAACGCGCAGCTTGCAGCTGCATCAAGCTGCATACTGATACTGGATATCTTTTGAGCCCGAGTCGCCCGAACTTGTGTTTACTGGTTTATGATTCGTTGCCCTGGAGGTTTGGGGCAAAGTATTCGAGATGCATCGGCTTTTTCTGTTCCTTTGGCTCAAGCGGTGGGTCTTCACTCTCGCAGGACTCATTGTTTACCTGCAATCATTCTGATGCTGATCACATAACTCTTGATTGTTGCACTGCACCGCTTGCTTTCACATGACATGCAGTCACTCAGCTTGTATGCCGCCCCGGCTTGCTGTCTCCTGAAGATATGTTTCGGTGTTTCAGTAGGTGTGGATGCTAAAAGTTCTGATAAGACCACATTTTCACCAACGTTTCTGCTGCCACTTTTGTTCAAAGCAAGAGAGCTGGTGCCTGCCCTTACTGAAGCGATCGGTGACCTTGTGCCTGGCTTAATCCCGCGCAGTGTCAACAAGTCAAACCGATCAGTGCTGTCTCTGCTGTCGCATTTGTTCTCACATGTTTTCCCATGCTTTCTCAGGTCCAGACGACATGTACTTTTCTGGGTTGAAGTTCCTGCGCGGGATTTACAACAACAACCATTGTAAATATGAAACCTGCTTTCGGTTTAAGTGCATCATCACAAGTTGAAGCCCCAAACAAGCACAACCCTTCACATATTGGGACAACACTCTCGCCTTTCTAAGAATGCTACAAACTCCAAGGATGCACAGCGTCCCAAGTCTCGACCATCACCCTGAGAATCCCCAAGAATTACATACCCAAGTTGGTGGTCTAGTTGTGTCTAGTGGATCATGTCGCTCTGGAATATAAAACTCATTAAGAAAGCCTTTCTGAAGATTTCAATAAGATTTCCCTTCCTGAGCCACAGAATGCGCCTTGGGTCGAAGCCAAGAACCCCTGAGGGCACTGCACCTTTCTCCGGCTCGCCCGGCTCGCTGTCTGACTGCCTCAAAATTAAACAAATGACGAAAAATTGAATTATGATTTGATAAAACTCTGCAGTCTATTGGCTCTGAAACCAATATGGGGGAGTATTTCAGGCCAGAAACAGATATGCGCAAACAACCAACCGGTGGCACTCCATCTAATTTCATCCTCCTTAACATGTTTTCTGCCCTTCGAACGCGAACCAACCTTTGCAGCTTTAAACAGACACCAGTTCGGCACTAAAACCACCAAAAAAAAACACTTCTGCGTGGCAGCTGAGGTAGCAGCACACTCAGGAATGGTTCGGACTGACAAAAGTGAAGGTTGTCGTTTAACCAAGGCAAATCATTGAGATACAGAAACCATTACATCCAATACAAGCACTTTATAACATTTGCTTGTTGCATGATGTACAATTGTCACAGTACCAGGATGATCTTATGACAAACAACATGTTGGTCCATGCCTCGCCTCTTTCTCCGCGCTCGGATCCGTCTGAGAAGTGCAAGTGAGGCACGTCTGACAGCTTTGAATGCGATGTCACGGACAGACAGTGCAGCTGCACAATCAGAAAAGAGTAAAGAGAAAAAACAATAGAAATAAAAGGAAAACGTATCAGAGGTGTGAGACTCATGACCAGTCACAGAGATTCAGCAAGACCTAACAAATGAGGCAGCCAAGCTGCAAATAGACTCAGGAGAACAGCAACAGCTGCCGCCTGTCAAAGAACTCAATAATCGAAGGAAGTTTAGAAGCCAAACTTCCGACAATATTGGAGAGATGGAAAAAGCAGAGGTGGGAAGAGTCAGAGAAGAGAAGAGCAGAAGAGAGAAGATCAGAGAAGAGAAAGAGTCAGAGGAAAGAAGATGCTGGTGCGCGAAAAGGTAGCAAAGTCGCAAAACAGTGTGTTTTTCCAATGATTTGTGGCTCCGGAGGGTCGAAAGGTAGGCTCGCTAAAGCGGCAGGCGCGGAGGTATCTGGTCAGATGAGGGTCGAAAAGTTGCACGCCGTTGTGGTGCGAAGCACATTTCCAAGTCAAAACGTACAAAACACACCATGCTTGGGCCACTTTTGGAAGTTGAGATGTCGAAAAAGTGCACGCCGTTGTGGCGCGAAGCACATTTCCAAGTCAAAACGTACAAAGCACACCAACGTTGGACCACTTTTGGAAGTCGACATGTCGAAAAAGTGCACGCCGTTGAGCCGCGAAGCACATTTCGAAGCACACTACACTACACTCCACTCCACTGTACTACACTACGCCCAATTACGTTTCGCTACACTACACACCACACACTACACACTACACACTGCACACCACACACTACACACTGCACACTACACACTACACACTACACACTACACACCGCAGCACACCACGCTACGCTACACTACACTACACAAACTACACGAACTACACAAACTACAACTCCAACTCAAACGCCAACTCCAGCTCCAACTACAACCACACTACATTACACTACACAACGCTAATTACACTAAACTACGCTCCACTCCACTTCACTACGCTACACTCAATTACATTACACTACGCTACAACTACAACTACAACTACAACTACAATTACAAAAGCAGCTACAGCTACACTACATTACACTACACTGCACTACACTAGTTAGATTACATTACACTACGCAACACTACACCCACACTGCATACCACTCCACCCCACTCCACTCCGCTACACTACAACTACAAATACAACTACAACCACAACTACAACTACAACTACATTACACTACACTGCGCTACACTCACTAATTACACTAAACTACACTCCACTTCACTTCACTACACTACACACTGAACTACACTAACTGAAACTACAACTACAACTACACTATATTTTGCTACACTACACTAATTACACTACACTACGCTACACTGCACTCCACTTCACTACACTACACTCGACTACATTGCACTACACTACAACTACATCTACAATTACAACTACAACTACATTACACTACACTACGCTAATTACATTGCGCTACGCTACACTCCACTACACTCCACTCCCCTCCACTCCTTTCCACTCCACTACATTACACTACAACTACAGCTACAACTACAGCTACAACTACACCTACAACTACAACTACGCTACTTTAGACTACACTAAGCTAGACTACACTACACTACCCTACATTACATTACACTACACTCAATACACCACCACAATGCAACTGCAACTACACTACACTAATTACACTACACCACAACCACAACTCCACTACACTACAATTACAACTACAGCTGCGCTACACCACACTACATCCAGCAGGTGTGGGTGAGGTGACCGACCAGGTGACCACTGCAACCAGTGTAACCACTCCAAGAAACACAACTCCAACCACTTTCAGTCCATCAGTGGATTCGCTCTGCCATCCGTGATTCACAACAACCAAGCTCTCCTATAGGTTTCCTATTCTGAAACTTCCGCCACCGCCTTGTGCGGTACTACTGGTAAATGATGAACGCCTAGAAATGAGGAATCATTCTGGATCAAGAGATATGAAGAAGGAAACCATGCGACATTCCATGCTCTGTCTTACAAAGCTGCGTCCTCAACTCAACCCCAAGTTCAATCATGTCAATCATATCAATCAAATTATTATAATTATACACATCAAACGTCGAGGCCTTTTTAATGCAAGAGCACTTGTGCTTCAACATCAGCTCTACTCTCGACTGAGCAAAATGCCACCCATGTCAAGTGAAGCCCCAGGAAAGATCGACCTCAAAAACATGTGCCAGACCTGCCAACTCAAACTCATGTCGTTTCGACTTGCCATCAGAACTTATGACCACCGCCACATCAGTTGTTGGCAGCAGTATGTTTCAACATACTGATAATCCCATTCAACCTGCGTGCAAAACGTCCAAAAATTCAAAACAATTCGGTACATATCGTCAATAAATCGTGATCTTTCAGGCGTCCCTGCGCATGTCACTGCGCTTTGCTGCCCTTGCATCCGACCTTTGCAAGTCGTCATCAGCGGCTGACCAACTCAAGTAGCGAGTGGCTAATTGGCAAAAGATGCGGACAATTCATGACAATTCATGAGGTTTCATGAAGCAAATGAAGCAAAAAAGGCCAAGAAAGCGGCCACGGAGGTAGCTACAGCGATTGTAGTCCGTGCTGAGGTGATAGGAAAGAGTACGACAAAACAACCATTCAAGCCCATGTAAACCATTAGTAATCATTTAAGGTTTGGCATAGTCACATGATGCAAAGTGGCTTGGGCCTGAATTTACCAATAATTCCTTCTGGGCCCTTGCTCTGAACTTTTCTGAATATACTTGCCAAGTCTTCTCCCAGTAAAGTCCAATAGGCTCTTACGCTTGCTTCCAAGTTGCTGGATGCTGGAGCTCTTGCCTTGGAACTGAACATGTCTGGCAGGCACACATTTGGCAGGGTAGCCACTAGATACCACTACCATATGCAGACCGAGAAAGAATCTTCAAGCTCCATTGTTTCCAGTTCGTTTCTACGTTCCACCCATTCGCTCTCCAGATTCCTGCCCTGTCAGAAATTCAGCCGCTTCTCTGAACCAACACGATTTCATTTCCCTTTCATAAACTTCAATTTTAATTATTTCATATTCCTTTTACATCCTCCCACCGATTTTCTCCTCTCGCAACAACCAAGAACCCCGACGCTGCTCAATGGCTTTTGACCATTCCCTGGCATGCATGACATGGCAATGATGTGACGAGGGTTTGAACCTGTTTGCAAACGTGAAGCCGCATGCAAATTGAAATGGTAACTCAGGACAACTCAGGTCCCCATAGACTTTGCAATGCAATGTTCATTGCAGCTGCAGTGAAGCTGTCACAAAAGAAATAGTGATCCAGGTATTTCTTTTCCACTTCGGCGCTTGGTGTTGGTGCGTGAAGGCGCTTGATGAAAAGAGAGTAGGCTGGCCACCAAAACCTGAACGATTTGAGACAAGCCAAAAGAAACCTGAGTGATTTCCAGGTTGTCCCCGTGTCAGAAAAAGGATAATACGTGAGAATACACTTCGACGCAACTTCTCAATGATCTCAATATATCTCAATGACAATCAGAAGGATTTGTGGATGTGGTGCACGAATTGGTATGCCACAACAATGGAATCGAAGAGGAACTCTCAAAATCAGGTTACTTGAGATCTAGGCACTGGGCAAGCCTGCAACACCAGGCATATCAAAGCATCATATTATAATCATATACTGTATATATCATATATCTCATCGGGTTTGCATGAAGCCCCCCCTTCATGCACTGTTTCTGCCGCATACGGGACGTGATTCGGACTTTGACTTGATCGCGGATATCTTGTCGCACCCCTTGTGCAAAGCAACAGTGAAGTTTATGTCTAGGCCAAGCTGCAAATAGGACTCGTGGTTGGTAATGTCATCCTAAGCCATAAAACAGAAACTGGTTCACCCAGCATGGTGCATGGGCACATTGCAGTGAGCATGCGTTGCATCAACCTTGATTCCAGCAAATGGAATGAAAACTACTCTTTAATGTTGTACATATATGCCATGTTTGGCTGTGCTCCTATTGGCAACTACACTGTGATGTGAAGGCATCTAAAGGCCGCAAAAGGTTCGCATCGTGCTTCAAAGAAATCAGTTGGGAACCATAGACAGTTCCTGATGGTTCCCGTGGGACATGCCATGTGTCTCCAAAGGTTCCTGTGTGATTCCTGTCCGATATGCCTTTCACAGCCTATGCCCGTGGCTTCCTGCGTTTTCTTACGAGCAAAGGGTGGGAGTCGCTAAACTCTATGCATGCCAAGGTATGTCATGATTTGCTATATTGACCCTGTTAATTTGTGGATCTGTCCATCTCTGTCCCCTCTTGCTTCTTTATACCTATACTAAAATCTCAGCTTTCTTACTACCGTACACGTTGTCCTCTTGCAGATCAGGTCTTGGTTTCTCCTGATTGAAAAGCTCATCCTGTGAGCATCTGAGATCTGTTCAACTCCTCACCGCAGCAAATTGTCCGCTTGTGTAGCTGAGCGGCGGGGAAGAGGTGGCTCTCGAGCACAGACTCCCACTGAATGGTCTCATTCCATTTGGCCTCACCGAGAATCACCGAATCAATCCGGATCAATCCGAAGCGGAACAGGTGGTCATTGTACGTAGCACTCATATGTCAAACCAAGATAAAGACAAAAAGCATTAAACAACAAAAACAATGTTTATCAATCATTATTAATTATTCATGATAAATTTGTGTTGTTGCCTCTTTTGAGCGATTACCATATTTACCATGTACTGTTTGTGTTCCCAATTTCCATCCTGGCCAGCCTGGCTGAAGCAGGTATTCCAGAACTCGTCTGAATAAAATTCGGGTTTTTCAACCACGCCTCCCGTCCGCGATTTGGGATGCTATTCTATATTGCAAAGAGGATGTCTGATGAATGGACTGAATGAAAGCCAAAGGACAAGCGAAAGAAAGAGCATTCGTGCCAAGGCCTTCCATATCCCCGATCATGGGCGAATTCCTTGAAGCATTTCAATGAAAGTCACACTAGTTGGAAAGCGTTCAGGAAAGAATGTCAAACTCATCACCGCCAAAAATTCTCATCATCATAGAATAGCTGCTATCGTGACATGGAGGACCTCACCGAAGCGTTTCATTTCCCTCCACAATGTTCCTTTGCTTAAACTGTATTTCACTGCCGAGCTTGTGCGAGGAGCAGGTTGGTGAAGGCGGTAGGGCCGGTAGGGAGGCTCGTTGTGTCATGAGCAGCAAATGTTGAGGTTTGGTTGTACTTAGTCGTACTTGAATGTGCAAACAAAAGTGAAATTGCATTGACGCATCGAAATCGACGTTTTCTTTAGCTTTCATGGATCCACAACCAGTGTTTTGATGCACGTGCATACAAACATCTGTACATGGGATCACGATCATACTGACCGCAGCATGATGGAAACGATGATTAAGATGATCTAGAAATAAGCATGCTATAGAATGCTGACGTCATTGAAGACAAATCCGCGGTTGACCAAAAGAAGATATATCATGAATCATGATATACACAACTATGTATATATATATGTGGCAGGGACCTTTGGGGTCTATTTCGTTCCTATGCATACAAGCATGTAATGCTATTGTTTTTCTTCTCCTTTGGTCGTTTAACTTGTTCATTTCTTTTGTGTCCACTAGAGTAGACTAAACTAGACTAAAACTAGACTACTGGACTAAACTAAACTAAACTGGATTAAACTAGACTCTACTAGACTCAACTAGACTAAACCAAGCTAAATTACACTAAAGTAGACTACAGTAGACTAAAGTAGCCTAAAGTAGATTGAAGTAGGCTAAAGCGGGCTAAACTACACTAAAATAGGCTAAAGTAGACTACCGTAGGCTAAACTAGACTAAAGTAGACTAAAGTAGACCAACGTAAACAAAGATTGGCTAAACTAGACTGAAACTGAGGAAACTGGATTAAGCTGGACTGAGCTTGTTGTTGGTTAAACTAGACTAGCTATATAATTAATGTTATATCTAAATGTTGATGCTTATGAAAATCAAACACTACGTGACACTAAATTAGGGTAAACTAGATTAAGCTAAGCTAAACTAGGCTAAATTAGGCTCAACTAGACAAAACTTGACTAAATGAAATTAGACTACACATCATGACGAAACTAGATTAAAACATAGTAGATTGCACAAAATTTGGCCAAAGTGGAGTAAAGAGAACTAAAGTACATTAAACTCAGTCAAACTAGATTCAATTAGATTATATAAACTGGACCAAATTGGATTAAACTGTGCTAAAATGGATTAAATTATAGTAACAAACTAGACTCAACTACACGAAAGTAGACTCAAAAAAGACTAAAGTGGACTAAACTTAACTAAACTAGTTGAGTCTAATTTGGCCTACTTTACTCTCATATAGTTTAGTTCAATTTAATCTAGGATGGTCTGGTTTAGTCTACTTTATTTAGCCTTTTTTAATATACCTTGTCTAATTCAGTCTAGTTTAGTGTTGCTTAGTCTTATTTAGTTCAAGTTGGCGTGGGTAAATTCTGTTTAGTCTGGTCTAGCCAAGCTTAGCCTAGTTTAGTCCAGCTTTGCCCAGTTCAGTCTGGTCTAGTCTACTTTCGTTTAGTCTAGTTTAGCCGAAGTTAGGTTAGTCCAGTTGAGCATAGTTTAGTCTACTTTAGGCTACTTTAGTCTAGTTTAGCACGCTCTAGTCTACTTCAGTCTACTTTAGGCTACTTTAGTCTTTAGCCTACTTGAGTCTAGTTTAGTCTGTTTAGTCTACGTTAGTCTGCTTTAGTGTAGTTTAGCCTAGTTGATTCTAGTTTGGGTTAGTTTTGTTTTATTTAATTCAGCTTAGTTGAACTTAGTCCAGGTGTAGATTTAGATGCAGGTGGTTTTGCTTAGTCTAGTTTAATCTGGTTTAGTCTAGTTTAGTCCATTTTAATCTAATCTAATCTAGTTTGGTCTAGTTTAGTCTAGCTTGGTCCAATTTAATCTACTTTAGTCTACTTTAGCGCATTGTTTACTCTAGTCTATCTAGTTTACATAATAGAATTTAACCTGGTCTAGCTTAGTCGATTTTAGTCTGGTTTAGTCTTGTTTAGTCTGATTTAATTTAGTTTAGTGTAGTTTTAGCCCAGTTGAATTTGTTTTGCCTAATTGAATCTAGTTTAACCTAGTTTAATCTAATTTACTTTAATATAATCCAATTATTATCTAACTTAATCTTTGTTATCCTAAATGTATAATCTAAGTTCGTCCAAAATCAATCCAACTTAGCTCAGCTGAACCGAACTTAGTCAAGTTTAGCTTGATTTCATCTAATCTAAATCTAATAGAATGTAGTTTAGTTTAATTTAATCTACCTTAGTCCAGCTTAATCGAATTCAGTGTAGTTTAGTCTCGTTTAGCCCAGCTTAGCCTAGTCTTGTCTAGTTTAATGTAATTTTATTCAAATTTAGTCTAATTTAATCTTGTTTTGTCTAGTTTAGTTAAACTTAATCTACTTTAGACTAGTTTAGTCCAATTTTTCCATTTTAGTTTACTGTACGTAGTTTTCTTCGATCTAGTTTAGCTTAACTTAGTCTATTTTAGTCTACTTGAATCTACTTTAGTCTACTTCAGAATATTTCAGTTTAGTTCAATCGTGTTTAGTTTAGCTTGATCTAGTTTCATTTATTTCACTCTAATTTAGTTTAATCTAGCTTAGTGTAGTTAAGTCTAGCTTAGTCTAATTTAGTCTAGTTTAAGGTAATTTCACCTAGTTTAGCCTAGTTTAATAATCTAATTTAGCCTAGTTCAATCTAGTTTTATCGAAAATTGTTGTGTTTAGTCTACTTTGGTGTAGCTTAGTGTAGTTTTGTCTAGTTTTAGTCTAGCTTAATCCAATTTAGTCTAGCTTTATCCAGTTTAGTCTAATTTAGCCTACTTTCTTCTACTTCAGTCTCCTTCAGTCTTTCTTAATCTATTTTACTATACTTTACTGTAGTTTAGTCTAGTTTAGTCTTGTCTTGCAATCTAGTTTAGTATTGTTTTGTTTAGTTTAGTTTATTTCAGTCTAGTCTAGCTTAGTTTAAACCAATCTACTTGGAACTATACTAGGCTAGTTTAATCTATTTTCATGTGCTTTCATCTTGTTTAGTCTACTTTAGTCTTGTGTGATTTACTTTAGCCTGCTTTTAGTCTACGGTGGAATCATTTACAGTAGTCTGGTTTAGCGAATCTAGTCTAGTTTAATCTAATTTAGTCTAGTTTAATAGTCTAGTTTAATAGTCTAGTTTAATAGTCTGGTTTAGTCTAGTTTAATTTAATTTAATCTAATTTAGTCTAGTTTTGCCTACTTTTGGCCTACTTCAGTCTACTTTAGTGCATTTTAATCAAATTTAGTTTATGAGTCCACTCTAGTCTAATTTAGTTTAGTTTATGTTCGTCATGTTTAAATTCAATTAAACTAAATTCAACTATTCTAAAGTAGGCTAAACTATATAGATGAAACTACGCGAAATAGTACAGTGAAATAGACTAAACTAAGCTAAACTAGACTACACTAGATTAATCCAAATTAAACTAAACTAAACTAGACCGAATCAGATGAAAATAGACTAACCTACTGCAGACTAAACTACTTTAAAGTAACTCACATTAAAATAATTTGACCAAACTACACTCCACTAGACCAGACTGGGACTACCATTTTCTCAGTATGTTTGTTTCTGTTTTGAGTTCTTGGCTTTCCCTTTTCTTTCTATGCTCTCGGCCATCTTCCCGCTATTCAGTAGAGTCTAGTTTCCGCTTCTACTTCCTCTTCCCTGTTAAAACAATGTTTTGTTCTTTACAATTTCTTTCTGCTTTTGTTTTCTCGTCTAACCTTTCCCTGTTTTCTTCTTCTCACTCTTCTTTCTCTTCCCAATTCCAAACTCTTCCTTTTCCTTTTTCGTTTCTCCTCTCCCTGTTCCTGGTAAAATTTCTCTTCCAATCTGCTTCGGCGTTTTGCATGTGTTTCTTCCTTGTCTGCTTCCTTTGTACTCTCTCCTCTTCACTGGTCTTGTTTCTTCTTTTGCCCCACTATGCCCAGTCTTTCCGGTTCTGCTTCCTCATCCTGGCTGCATTTCCTGTCCAAGAGAAGGAAGAGGGGAGAAGGAACATTACAATAAAGACAAAGGAAGAAGGTGCATTTGAAATAGAAAAAAACAGTGATATAGCAAAAAGGAAAGTGTTACGAAAAGCTAAAAAAATAAAGAAAAAGTCACATGCAAAGGAAAAAAGACAAACAGGAGAAATACTGTAATGAAAAACCGAGAAAGGGTTAGATACAAACGACGTGAAATTGGAATAAGAAAACGAAAATGAGATTGCTAAAGCAAAGAAGCTTTAGTGCAGGAACGGTCCCCACTCAATCTTGGAAAAGGGGCTGCCAAAAGAACTCTTGGAAAAGGAACTAGAAAAGGAAGCAGAAGGGGAGAAGAAAATTGAAACGAAATTGACAAGGAAGAGAGTGAGAAAGAGAAACTTGAAGTGCAAAAAATAGTGAAAGAGTAAAAGGGATAGCGTTACGAAACCGGAGAAACAAGGAACAAAAAGAGGTGAAGGCAAATAAGAAGAAAAAGAACAAGGAAGGCCCCAAACTGACAATGGAAGTGGAGAAGCAAACAAACAAATGACAAGGAAAAGGAAACAATCAACGGATACGAAGCTGCATTTTGGCACTGTTAAAGGGCGCTATAAACCTTGGGAAAAGAGACCCAAAAAAGAAAGGAACAAAGGAATAGAAAAAGGAAACGAAACAAATAAGGATAAGAAGAAGAGAGAAGAGACAGAGACTGGAATGTAACAAGGCAAACCGGAGAAACGATAGCACAGCAGGGAAACAAGAAGGGAGAAAAGGAGCGGCAGGAGGAAACGGAAAAAGGACATGGAAAGGAGGAACAACAAATAAAAAAGACAATGTAAAGGGTCAAAGGGAAGAGAAGACAGAAAAACATCTCAGATTCTAGTTGACAGGGCCCTGTCATGGGCACAAAATGGGGCCTTTCATACGTGAGTTACGTGATACACACTATACACTGGATCCTCTCCCCACTGCCCTTTTTCATCTCTCTCTTCCAGCTCCGTTTGGTCCTCTTTTTTGTTTATTTTTTTCTGCTGTTCTCTTTATTCCTGGCCTTGCCTTTCCAAGATTGCAAGGGCCCCATCACAATCACAAAACGAAGGCTTTCATGCGCAGTATACTATTCACACTATTCACGATTAGTTTTATCCCCTTCACGTTCATATCCTCTTCTTGCTCTTGTTTCTCATCCTGCTCGTAGAGTGTGTGGCTTAAGGTTGTTTGCCGCGTGCATGTTCAAACAATGACACGAAGCTTTGCTTCTTCAGCTTATTTTTTTTCGGTTCTGGTTCCCTGTTCTCTTGAACCCTCATTTTTGGTGACCTTTACAGTACTTTGTGGCATTCCAATGTGTTGGGGTGTTATAACTTGATGACTCTTGGGTTTGCGAACCCAGAGACGTTGTTGATGACCCTCTGCGGATCTTCGGCTGTCTCCAAAGATTAGTTTTCGTCACTCTTTTACATAAACCAATAAAAAACCTAGAAAACCCCTAGATTAACCCTAAAGAAAGCATAAATGAACCCTAAAGAAACCCTAAAGAAATCCTACATAAATCCTGCAAAAACCCTGTGAACATGTATATAGTGGAATACCTGTGGGTTGTAACGCATGTGCGGCGGGTAGTGTTTCTTCTTGTCCTCGGCCTCTTCTTCTTCCTTTGTTGTTCACATGTTCCATTTACGCATGTGTAAAGTGTAAAGCTATATTTTTTACTGCCTAAACCGCGGAATTGAATCAGACAAAAACAGTGGCCATAACATTCCTAAACATGTGTGCTCCAGGAAACCCTCCTTTGGCTTCTAATCAATGTCCTTTCCCAAAGTGGAACAAAGACAATTTGGACTTGGCTTGCCAATAGTACCATCAAAGCAAGGGGAAAAATGCTGGAGGACAAGAAGGCATAATAGAAATTGGAGAAGGCGACACTAATAAAAGGAATAAATTTGAATGTATAGTAGGCTTTGCAAATTCAGGATGCTTTTGCAGTTTTGGCAAGTTGTGCTTATTTGTCAAATTTGGTCAATTTTGCCACATGTGGCAATTCTTGGCAAAATGTGTCATTTTTGCTTATTTGACTATGAGCTAATTTTGATGACTTTTGCAAATTTTGGCAATTGTTCGCCGTTTTGGCATTTTGGCACTTTTTACCATGTTTCGTAATACGATTAATTAAATTAATTGAATTAATTAGATTAATTGAATTAATCAAATTATTTAAATTATTTAAATTAATTAAATTAATTAAATTAATTAAATCAATTAAATTAATTAAATTAATTAAATTAATTTAATAGATTTAATTAATTTAATTAAATAGATTAATAAAATTAAGTAAAATAATTGGATTAATTTAATTGAATTAATTAAATTAATTAAATTAATTAAATTGTTTAAATTAATTAAATTACTGAAATTATTAAATTAATTTAATTAAATTAATTAATTTAATTAATTTAATTAAAGAAGTAATTAAATTAATTAAATTCTTTAAATTAATTAAATTAATTAAATCTATTAAATTAATTGAATTAAAGAAAAAATTAAATTAATTAAATTAATTAAATTAATTAAATTAATAAAATTAATTACCTTAATTAAATTAATGAAATTAATTAAATTAATTAAATTAATTTAATTAATTAAATTAATTAAATTAATTCAATTTAATTAATTAAATTAATTAAATTAATTTAATTAATTAAATTAATTAAATTAATTAGATTAAATTAATTGAATTCATTAAATTAAATTAATTAAATTAATTAAATTCATTAAATTAAATTAATTAAATTAATTGAATTAATTAAATTAATTAAATTAATTAAATTAATTAAATTAATTAAATTAAAGAAATAATTAAATTAATTAAATTCTTGAAATTAATTAAATTAATTAAATCTATTATATTAATTAAATTAATTAACTTAATTAAATTAATTAAATTAATTAAATTAATTAAATTAATTAAATTAATGAAATTCTTTAAATTAATTAAATTAATTAAATCTATTAAATTAATTAAATTAAAGAAAAAATCAAATTAATTAAATTAATTAAATTAATTAAATTATTTAAATTAATTAAATTAATTAAATTAATTAAATTAATTCAATAAATCAAATTATTTAAATTAATTAAATTAATGAAATTAATGAAATTAATTAAATTAATTAAATTAATTACGTTAATTAAATTAATTAAATTAATTAAATTAATTGAATTAATTAAATTAAATAAATTAATTAAAAATAATTGAATTAATTTAATTAATTAAATCTATTATATTAATTAAATTAATTAACTTAATTAAATTAATTAAATTAATTAAATTAATTAAATTATTAAAATTATTTAAATTAATTAAATTATATAATTAAATTAATAAGAAAAAATTAAATTAATCAAATTAATTAAATTAATTAAATTAATTAATTTAATGAAATTAATTAAATTATTTAAATTATTAAAATTATTTAAATTAATTAAATTATATAATTAAATTAATTACATTAATTAAATTAATTAAATTAATTAAATTAATTAAATTAAAATTTAAACAATTTAACTAATTTAATTAATTTAAAAAAGTTAATTAATTTAATTAATTTAATTAAATCAAAAGACAGAAAATCGGAGGAGAGCAAAGCAACAAAATAGTACCTGAAGGTCCCTCGATCATATATATATACATATATACATATATATATATACATATGTATATCATTGTTGACCAAGGGTTCCCGGCGCCTCAAAGTACCAGAACGACGTCTACCATGTAATTATGGTCCTGTATGGTGTGTAAAACATAAATTTCCTGTCGGCACTGCAAAAGCAAAGTAGCGGTAGCATAGACGAGTACCGAAGAGTGCCGAAGAGTATTGAAGAGTATTGATAGCTTGAAAGGTTCATGACGTTCACGTCTAACTACCAAGTTTACACAAGTTTGTTGTATTTAAATCATTGCAGCCATGATGATTCAACGAAATGCACAAGAACACTGTCACTGTGTTTTTCCCCAGGTTGAATGCAGGCAGTGCTCCAGCCAAACCACAGCTGCCCACCAGGGACCACCTCGATTTCTCCAGCCAAAAAATATCAACGGTTTCAGTGCCAATTATGGCAGATTGCAGATCAAATCAAAAAGTTTCCAAATCACCAAACATTGTCCGATAGCTCACTAGAAAATTCAATAGAAAACTCAACAGAACACTCAATAGAGTCAGGGTTGGTTCTCGCATTCAAACATCCGGTCCAAAACCATGAGCATCTTTGATACATACCCTAGAGATACCTGAATCATCTGTGATCGTTTTCAGGATGCTGCAAGGATGTTTCAGAAAAGATGAAGTCACTTGGTGTACCAAGCAAAGGCTGCAGTCAAACAAATTGCCTTCCCAACGAGCTTGCGCACAACAGCGCACTGATCTTCAGGATGCCTTATAGCAGCGCCGCTGCGGGAAAAGAAACATTAACAACAAATGCAGTCTACCAGTACTTCTGACGTAGCGTTTATCTTCAAGATGCATTGCTTGTTGAAATCTAGAAGTTTTCAATCTCAGCACATTGGCAGAAAATGCTAACAATGCCAAAGGTGCAAATGGCAAAGCGCTGCATAAGAAATGACCGCATCAAATGTGCTCTCAGGCAGCCAGTCGACATACCCTGAGTCCACCCGAGTCGAAGTCTTGCTTCGAAGTGATCCAACATGCGTACACTGCGTGCATTCTTCCAATTCCGCTTAGTGCCACTTGCTTCCATCCTGCGAAGACTGAAAGAATCCCTTTGTGGATCTGGTGGGATATCATGGGATCTGTGTACACTGAGCTTTTCTCTTTTTGCTGAGCTTCGACCATCCACTTGACAAAAGAGTCCCATGGAATGCTCGCGTGCCCACCTTGAAGAGCTGCTGTGAAGAGGACAAAGATGAAAAAAAAACGCTGCCAAAGTTGGAACTGTCAGTCATGCTCTCGTGAGAGTCACTCGGTATGGAGAATAGACATAAATATTTCTCCCAAGTGGAAATCACGTCAAGTGCGCCAAGAAGCTTCACATTGCCTTCCACAAGGTCAAGCCCGACCTTTCGAAATTCGAAGGGCGGAAAAGGATGGAAAAGGCAGTTTCTAAGGAAATGTGGAGCTCAGAAGCCAGGCTTCGAACTCAAGGATTGAGTTCTTGGAAGATGGATGGCAATTCTGAATAAGTTTAATTCTCACAGCAGCCTATTCAGCTCAGCCACGCCGAAAATATCATACAATTGCGCAGCCCAAGTCAGCTTGTGTCCACAACCTGGAGATAAAAAGCTCAAGACAGACTCAATTGGACATAGCGGTCTTCAAATTTTCAACACAAGGATCAAAACTAGGCCAGCCTGTGCCCCAGTCCAATACTAGGGAACCTGGAGCGAGTTGTAGACGTTCTAGCACAACAACTAGCACGCACCTCAGGGCTTCATGTAAGGAACATATCAAAGGTCTCAGAAGAAAACTGCAAATCGCACTGTCGGGATGTGCACGATGCCAATGAAAAAAGAATATTATGAAAGCGGTGCAATTCAAATTGCCTGGCCCATCCGATGTGACCAATGCATTCGAGAATTTTGCAAGTCCCTGCAAACAAAGAAACTAACTGTCTTTCTCCATTTCCTGACATGCTTTCCTCAATTTCTTGACGCCAGTCAGAAATTTGCAACTTCGTACATTTCAAATGCTTTCTGAAAGCTGTTGCAAAATGCGTGTCAACATGTTGTTGCAACCTGTTTCTCAACATGTTGCCACCCTTGCGCCACTTGATGCCGCTTGCACTGCCCGTCACTGCCCAGTGGCTTGTGCAGTGGGCGCAAATCTTCACGCCATTCAGAACTCGGCTCTTCACAGCCGCTGCCCAGAACCTGACGCCTGACAAAAGTCAGGTTCACCAAAGACCTTTTGCCCAAAGTTCTCCATGTCGGTATGTGTCAGTACATGTCGGCAAATGTTATTCTTGATCACTACACTTATCCTACAAAGATATACAATATCATACAATATCTATATCTACCATGACATACTATGACTATACAAAAAAATACGTCAACTGTACCGAAACGCCTACTAAAATGAAATAAAGTGGACATGGCTTCCCGAAACTCGAGTCGAGAAGCCTTCCAGAAGAGCGATTTGCGTACTTCTGCAAAGCCGTTTCGCTACGTTGGCGCCAGTCTTCTGGCCAACTGGCAAAGAACTCAGCCTCGTCAATCACAGGCCGCAGCTTTTTGAGTGGGGGATCTTCAAAGCTTTAAAGCTGACTGTCAGATTGTGTCAGACCATCTGAATATATCAGAATTGGATTTAAGAAATTTTGATTTGCACCTGTGCGATGCATTGCTGTGTACTTTTGCTCCCCGGGCCTCTTGGGCTTCCGTTGGACACTGAATCTGCTTCAGCAATTCCTCCGAAGGGACCACGAAAGTCAGCAATGATCGAAAACAAAGATGTGAACAGCTGTGCTGAAGGCCTCTGGCTGACGTGGCGTTGGGAACGGCCTCACAACACCGTGGCCAATTTCCCAGCCTTGCGCGAGGCACCCCTCATGAACAGCCATGACAACCGTGCAAAGCTGCCAAGCTGCGAAGCAAACAGTTCCTACCTGTTATTGAATTATCTCTATATAGTCTCTATATTTCTATCATTCAGTCATCGATCTGGTCCATGTGAGATTTTATTTGTCCAAATTTGAACTCAAATGTTTTTCAGTTTCATGCGGGTCTCTCGTGTCTGGACACCTTTTCCATCCTGTTGCTCAGTGGACGCCCTGTGCCTCGCATGGCCTTCGAACTTTGCGATCTGCGTTTTTGCCTCGACAAGCTCAACAAGCGACAGTCAAAGCTCCCGATGTTTTGTTTATTCAATAGTTTATTCGCGAGTCTAAAAATTGACATCATCCATGCTCATTATGCAGGCTGCATTGTCCTTGACTTCTATTGCGACTCTCCAGCAGCTCTTTGAGCTCGATACGTGAAAAGGTGTGCAAAGCTATGCAGCTATGCAAAGCTCAATAGAGCTCTGAATATTTCTCTCAATCAAGCTCTGAATAGAGCTCCTAATAATAAAGCTCCTGATAAGAAAGCTCCTAGATGCTCCCAGTAAAGCTCTGAATGAAGCTCTGAATCCGTGTTGCTAACTCTACGGCTTGTGTGTTTGATGCCGTTGTTGTGTCAACTCTGCGGCTTGCTGAGTGTCCTGCCTGCATCGCTTTACGAGTTGGGCATCGCTGAGCCTGACGCTGCAATGCGTCTCCATTCGGTCCTGTCAAGGCGTTCAACATGCTTGACATGCCATGAAATGCCCAACGCAAAAGGTTGTCTTTGTCGCTCAGGAGTGGGTCGCGGTGCTTCCGTTGCTCGTCTCATAACTGCTCCTGTGCTGCGCGGAGGATGTACCGGCCTCTTGCTGACCCAGTCCTCAGATATCTTTTAAAATACTGTTTCAGTTGCGCAAGTTTTAATCTGTTGAAGTATGCTCGCCACCTCCCAACGTGAAACCTGAAAGAAAACGGTTCTACTTAAGAATTTATCGAAACACTAAGAAAATGACGAACAGTCCGAATAGTGGCAACAAAGAAATAGTGTCAATCAGTTGATTGCAAGCTATTTAAAAGGCGAAAAACTTGAGTTTCCAAGATCTACTGTAATTCTCAGCTTGCCACTTGCCAACATCATCACAAATTAGGCCAGATCCTGGTCATCAGGGCATCAGGGTTCTGAAGAGTGCAGCTTGCAGAAAGCAATGTCGAAATCCAGACCAGGTGCCAACTTCTCAGTGCATCCGAAAACTTTCGTGCAAAAGATACGAAAATCACGAAATTACACAGGATTTTAAAGTTGCATTGCAGTCGGGTCCTGTCATGAAGTTGACATGGAACAAGATCTGAGAACAGTGTGAGAGGGTTCACAAAAAAGGCAACCGCTTGAGTCAAGCAGTGCACTAAACGACTGTGTGGGTTCATCAAAAAATGCAAATTGAATTTTGACAGCTGATGCAGCTCAATCGTTACTGCAAAGAGTCCGCTCACTTTTTTTCCAAAATCTCGCAGGCAGAAGAGTGCCAAGAGTCGGCACATGGAGCATTTCTGTCTGACTCCTTCCAGCAGCCGGACCTGGCTACGAGCTCACCCCGTACCTGCCACGCTACCTGGCACGTTGACACCTTCTCTGGTGATCTGGTAACGCTTGACCTCCTGTGTGTGAAGCTCGTGCGGGTTTAACCTGGCCAGGTTCACCAACAAGTCTTTCACCTTCGCCAAGTCTCCCACGGCGCATGTTTCCTTGCTCTTCTTGGCGCGATCCGCGGCAGCGAAGTGGTTATGGCGGATCCGATTCTTGGCAAGGAAATATAACCGCCGTTCCAAGTCGGAGGAGTGCTGCTTCGAAGCGCATTGGATCAACAAGTGGAGCGCCCGAAGGCTGGTTCCAGGTGGATAATCACCCTGTTTGTGCTGACGAAGGCAACTGAAGCGCAAGTAAAAAAGCTCCGGGTACTGCGAACTTCCAATTTTCAGAACCCTTGGCGCCCAACCTCAGCGTCAGCACGTGGCGCACGTAGATTGTGCTTCTCATACTCAAAGTCCAAGGCTGACTCAGCCGCAAGCTGCGCGTCAGCGCTTCCAAAAGGCTGATGTGCCCCGGGCAGTAGCTTGTCCCTGGAGAACGTGAGGCTGCTCGCACTTGAGAAGGGAACAGCCCTTGAAGTCACTCAACTGCTGATCCTTCTCATTCACTCGAAGCCACACAGGTTTCTCGACTGCCGGAGGCCACAAAGTTATACAGGACCAGCGCTACATGGCTAGCGAACGTCACTGAAGCCAGTAGAAAACCTCTTTGAAAGCCCGGCAGATAGCCAAAGTAGTATTGCGCTGGGCGGCCGGAAGGCTGCAAAAGGCGCCGGAGGACCGGGCGCCGGGAGCGTTTAAAGGCAGGCTACTGCCTAACGTCGCTTTCTGAAGCCACTAGAAAACTTCTTTGAAAGCGCCCGGCAGATGGCCAAAGTAGTATTGCGCTGGGCGACCGGAAGGCTGCAAAAGGCGACGGAGGACCGGGATACTACCTACTGCCTAACTAGAAAACCTCTTCGAAAGCGCCCGAGATGGCCAAAGGACCGGGGTGCTACCTACCAAAATGCTGGCAAGGGCGCCGGGGAGGGTTTAAAGCCAGGCTACGGCCTAACGTCGCTTTCTGAAGCCAGACAGGCCCTGATTTCAACAAAGTAATAACACACACAACAAATGATATATAGACAGGCAGTAATTAGACAGGAGGTAAAGTTATAATACTTACAACAAATATAGCTACACTATTGCACTATGAATAATATGTCGCTCTACACTTGAGTCAGTGATGGACCTGGCCTTAACTGCAAGCCCCTCCCAGCTGTAGGTCTGGAGCCACTAACACGAGACGGCAAACCAGTCCCTCTCAAAGTTGGGAGCCACACATGTGACGTCGAAGGGCCACTCGACCAGAAACGCCTTGCGCACTGTCAGCCAATCCTCCAAAGTGTACTTGTACTTCCTGCCTTCTGTCTCCCTCTTGTCCTTGATCTTCTGAATTCCTTTCGTGAGCTCCTCCATCCGCTGCTCTCTCCACTTCAAATCAGCATCCGACAGCACGACTCCTTCCACATTTGCATTGTGCACAGCTGCCTTGTCTGATGCGTTTGGCTTTTTTCCTCCATGTATTTGATCGCAGTGCCACATGCAGTAATACAACACCTGCAAAATCTTGAAAACACCATCCTTCTCGTCGTAGACTTTGACCTATGATGGGATGGAGCAAGATCTCGAGTCATGTACGGTGCGAAACTACTATGAGGGTTCCCAGAAAAGGTCACCACTTGAGTCAAGCAGTGCACCAAACGACTGTGAGGGTTAGCAAAAGAGGCATGATGCAACCAAAATGCAGGCAGGGGTGCTCCTTCATCATCAGTCTCCACCTGCTGCCGGTGCTCTGCCTGCATCGATCCTACCTGCCGTTTCCACTCATCCTTCTGCTGCCCCAACCACTGCGTTTGCTGCGTCAGGAGATCAAGCTTGGCTGCTTGGACTTCATTGCGTGCAGTCTGAACTGCCAAGTTGACCTGAGCCTGTCGCAGCTCGTCTTGCAGACTCGTCATTTTCAAGACGATCTCCGTTGGTACTGCTGTCATAGGCGCTGCCACAGGCCGTCTTTCCCGTGGCACAATCGCCGGCTGTCTCTGCAAGTCTCTGGACCTCGATCTCTCAAACTCCGCAGAAGCCCTCATCTCCACCGAACCCTGTGAGGCTTGCAACTCCTGAGGCCCTTGCCTCTCCCGAGACACCGACAGAGTTCGTTGTGGTGCCAGGCTTGGAGCATAGTCAGGAGACAATAACTCCAAAGACATTCCTGGGATTGTGCTCATCTGAGAAGCAGCTACTGGTGCCGGTGAGGTGCCCATTGTGTCTTGCATATCTCGCAACCAAAGCGGTACAGCTTCACGCCGTACCACCACTCGAGGAGGCGAAACACTGTCCATGACCTGTGAACCCATGTGCACCGGTGTACCTCCCTGAGGTTGGGGATCCTGAACCGAGGTTGATCCAGGGACGCATGGCTTCCAACCCGCTGCTGGGTGCTTTGATGCAAAGAGCTAGTGAACAAGTGATGATATGCAGATAATCCTCACAGCTAAGAGATGGAAGCAACATCTCACTTGCAAATACTCGAGTGGCCTAGTCTGAGACCCGGACTTGATCTCGAAGAGATCTGGACTCCTTTTCTCAGGCAACGTGTGCAGCTACAAACAGACACTTTCGAAAGGCCGTGTTTTAACATGTCATCGAGAGATGGATATGTCAAGACATGTCAAGATACGCAACTGATATCAACTGATCACAACTGCAGGCTTTGCTGCGTCGTGTTACAACATTCTGCCCAGAGTCCGACCAAAAGGGAAACGGATGAAGATCGAAGCTATCGCCGGCAGAAAATGACGACACCGTGGCTAAGGAGAGCCTAGGCACGGGAAGTGACACAGAAAGTGACCGGAGGGCATGGAAGCTTCTTTTCCGAAGCAAAACAAAACTGAAGATAAACTCATCCTGTGAAGGTAAATCGAGGATTTATTTTTGGACGCGTTGTGGCCAGCTTTTCGTGTTGCGTTCTCAAAACCAGTGCCGAATGGCCGAATGTATATTTTCCATTGCCAAATCATTCTGTTCAATTTCTGCACCTTCTGCACTGCCTCTGCCTCAGCTCCCTTGTGGCTTTGTTCCATCATGTTCCATCTTCATTGAATCTTCCTGATCTTCTTTCCATTTCTTTCTTTGGATTTCCAGATGATTGCCTGTAGCACACGGTTAAAGAGCACCCTATCTGTTTCATCCTGAATTCATGAACAAGTTGAGTAGAACCTCAGTAAACATGTGTTGCATCTGGCTGATGGGTACCAGGTATGCTGAGGGGTAACAGGTATGTATGCTTCTGGATAGTTTGTTTTCAAAACTATCCAACTTGACTGAGTATACTCAGGGTTTATCAAGCAAGTATACAGTATACAGCATACACTACTTTAATTTCTGGTGTTTGGTCATCGGTCCATACAAAACAGTGGGAGGGCTCACATCAAGCAACAGGTGGGAGCTGATATCCGATGGCCGGGTGCCAATGGCATACTGCATGGTGATGAGATAGCCAGTCCTTGGGCGCAAGACTCTGTGCAGTTTCTTACTTCGCTTACCGATCCTTGAAATAAGGAGCAGAAGTGACAAAAGTGAGAATAAAAAAAGAATCTTTAAAGAGCGCTTTCAATTTTTCCCCTCTCTTCGCACTCTTCGTGCCAATCTTGCTGTTTCCCACTCAGAAAAGAAAGCTGCCGAGTGATGGGCTTGGGCAGCCAATTCACGCATGTTGACCCGAGAAACACATCAATTCGGAGCAACTGACGTCTTACGCCCAATCTCCACTGTCGTTTGTGCGCTTTCCCGAACCCAAAGTGAACCGTCACTTCATCTGCTCGCCGCGGCTCCAAAATATCAAGGGACACCTGCCATGCTTGGAGAATGCTGATGGTGGATCCAAATGCCAGTTGGGCGGTCAACATGGTCAACGTGTCTCCCACGCATGAATTTGACCTGTTTTTTGAAGTGAGTAGATTCAATGCCATCGAAATAGGTTTGTTTCAAAGCTTGCATTGCCAGTCTATTTCGCGACCAAAGCTCTTAACCCCACCTCTGCCTTGCTGATATGGCTTGAAGGGCCAAGTCTGCCATTGCCTTGCCAACTGGATCCAACTGAATCCAACTTGATCCAGCTTGCCACCAGTTCTCACCCTTTGCTGTAAACACAGTCAAATGAGTCAAATGAGTCAAATGAGTCAAATGAGTCAAATGAGTCAAATGAGTCAAATGAGTCAAATGAACAAGTCAAATATAGTCAAAATGCACCTCACCTCGGCGCCAGTCTGTGAGATATCTAGGCAAACACCAGGGCCGAACTCGAAAGTACTCTCGGTCTCGCCTGGGCCAGAAGTCAAATCCTTATCTGATCCTATCTGTTTCTCAGTTTGGTCCGCTGTGAAGAGATACAATCTTGTCCGCATGTGAGGAGGTCGCGTAGGCTTGAGGTTTTCACATATCCTTTTGAGTGGGCATGCCATCAACAACCAAGGAACCCATGAACAAATCAACAACCATCCGACCAGGCAACCAACAAATGAGAAATGAAGCGTGAACATGTATACACAAAGAAACATAGAACATGCAAATTGTGTGAGCATGCAATCACATCATGTCACACACGCTCGCATGGGCATTTGATCTCCCGCTGCAGTTCTTCACCCATGTCGTGCCTTGCAAATGTCCATCTGCTGCTACACGCGAGTCACGTGCACCAGGGCACAAACGGCAACTTTGATTCAACAAGTCCTCAGATGAAAAGAACGGTTAAAGAAAACCATAACATCTGGAACATTCTGATCACTTGTGCACACAAGATATTCCAATGGATTTATGCTCTTGAAAGAACAGCATCATTGCACAACCATGGCACTGCAGGCGACACACTCGGATGCAAAGTGCTTTTGCCATTACCCACAGTTGACAGTCAGTTCCAACCGAGAAGCTTGAGAGATCTTTGCAAGGCCCTCTGACAGGCACTCCTTCATAAAAACGAAGCTACCGGTGCGTTGTCTTGCTCATGCACCACCACGGATAGAATATTTACATACAGTATATAATAAGTTCAAAATATTGAAATTCACCAAGTACTCACTACACTCTCAGAAGAAAAAACGAATACAAACAAGTCAAACACTGCATAAATCTTATACTGGCTTTGAGCTTCGCTGCATTGGTTTGCTGTGGAGAGCAGGTGATGCAGAGCAAAATGACCGCAAGTTACGAGTACTGCTTCTTGAAGGACTTACAACAAGCACTTACGGGGGAAGAGCCTAACTTGCGCCAAAACCCTGAAGTCAAAAAGGACGTAGGTGCAAACCGGCGCAAGCAAGCCAAACACGCAGGCACAAGCGAAGCAGTATACAGCAAAGTGTACAGTAGCAAAGTCTGACCTGTTCAATCTGATTTGAAAAAAATACAAAAACAGAAACTTGACCAAGTTGAATTCAACTACCTCTCTACCATCGACCCAATCTTTAGCTCCTTTGGCAAAGCCTCTTCAGTGCATCGCCCGACATGGGACACCATAGCACCATGGCAAAACAGCGCAATCCACTGACTTGTGGCGGCAACAAGAACCTTTCCTGTCCAGAATCTTACAATACAGTATCACTCGTATCACTAGTATCATATATATATGTATGTATGCTTGTATAATATTATGTGCAGTTGTAGGGTGCTTTGCTATAATTCATGAATCCGTCTATGCTCAGAAGTAGAGGATGGTGGAAGGAAGTCATCTTCAGACAGGACAAAGTCAATGTCCAGCCAATGTGGTCCTCTAGGGATATACGGTTCTAGGGTTCTACGGTTCTAAGAGGCTCCGCTTCGAGCAGAGCCAAAGCTCCGGACGGATTTAAACAACGGAAAGCTCCAGCCAAGCGAATTGATTCACAGAGTGCCCCAAAACGTTACGGTACCGTTCATCTGATACCTCTTGCTACGGTACCTCGGCAACTGCATCACTTGAGAACTTGCGAGAGGGAAAGAAAAACAGCCAGGCTACAGGTGGGGGGTTGTGGCATGCTACTGTGTTACTGAAAAACATATGGCATGTTGTTGAAGCATGGATGTGCTGAACATTCCAGGAGTCCTATATGAGCCACTCTGAATCATTAATACATCTAATAAACACTTTGTGAGGCAGTCTCACATGCCAAAGACACCGATCGACCATTGCGCATTGCACGCTGTCAACCTCGACGGGCGAGTTGGACAATGCCTTCAGGCAGCTGATCCAAAAATTGTTGGAGAATGAATGAAAATAATGAAATAATGAATGGAATAATGGACATATTTGAAGAATTTTGAAGATGCGAAACGACCTCGGCCTAGTAATATTCATTGATTTGTATCTCCACACGTTCTATGTTGTCAGAAGGTCGCTGAGGACGATCTCGCAGCACTTCCACTGGTCAACCCTGCCTTGAAAGCATTGACAAACCGCTGCTTGGCACTTTCATCCAGCAGAATGGCCTCAAAGCAAAGCACGACGAGAGCAAAGCACCCCTTCTGCAAGTGCAAACAAGAAAGAAATCAAGTTGCAAGAGGTTGCAAGCATTTCTTATCATCTCTTGTGCAGAGTCATGCCATTGCTTTGACAGAGCTCATGCATCATTTAAGTGTACCACATGTGTAAAGGTGGCCAAATGACAAGCATGAACAACACTGTGCGCGAGAAGTCCTTATTGAAGTTACACTGAATAAGATCTCTCCCTCTCTCTCTCTTTCTCTTTCTCTTTCTCTGTCAGCCTGGATTGCTGCTGTAATGGTGTGACGCTCTTTGGCATCAGCACAAAGCACCACAAAATCTGCCTGGCAGCAAAGCTCGATTGTGGAATCTACGTCTGCAATCACGTGGAGGAGTAGATTACTGCGCAACTCTCCTGCACATTCCTGCGCTTAGAATGAAAACAGCTGTATTGTGATAGCGCCTTTCCGTTGTGGCAGTAAGATACAGTAAGACTAAGGTGATGTACAACGGAGCAATTGCTTTATGTTCACTTTGCAATGCAAAGAATCTGTTGGCAACGGGCTTCCAAACCTGCCCCTTGCATTGCTGAGTTGAGTGGCTGTCCCCCCTTCGTTGGCTGACATATTTTGAAAGAGGCGGTTGGCGGTTTTCATAAATAGGAAATAAACAATAAACAGTCTCTAAAAGTGGGAGCGCTCTGCAGACGTGCTGAGTTTGGATTTAGCAGGGTGAGCATGCTGACGAATACAAAAGGGACAAGAAAGGTACATCTCGGAGATAAGTGGGAGTCAAATGGGAGGTAAGTGGGGAACAAGCGGGAATACCGTGGCAAGTATGACCCTTTGGTTAAATCCACATTGTTCTTGCTCGCTACGCCATCACGCAAGTACTCAATGAGTCAACTGCGACAATCAATTGAGTAAGTTCTCCACACATGTCCAAATGTGCTTCAGACATTTGCAAACAACGGGAGACAATTCTTTGTCAGCTCTTGTCATGCTCCAACTGGAATGTCTGACATTTGACCAGACCTGCACTTCGCCCGTCAAGTGCTGCATGCTGATTAACCGGCGTGACCGGAGCGAAGGCGTAAAACTCACTTGGCTCTGGTCGCCTCAGACGGATGTCATCTGAGACCAGGTTCGAAACCAAATCCTACAGAATTTCCATGAAAATCTAAAAAAGTTGCTAGATTGCAAGTTCAAAGATGTTCAAAGTTCAAAGCAATCATTTGGGGGTGCGGCGAGGCAGCAATACTTTGGCTGCTCGGAGCGCCAGAACCTTCACCTTGGCAAGAAATTCAAGATGAATTGATTGAATTGAGGAGCTTTCGAACATGGAGATGTGATGAATGCGTGGGTGATTATTGTGATCGCTGGGTCAAAACCTTGAACATCAAATGTCTTTTAGCAAGGAACCCAAAGACATTGCCTGACTTGCCAATGTAGGGGACTAAACCAGTCACACACCAGTCACACATCAGGTTGTGTTGGAGAGATCAAGGCAATCAAGGCAAGGGATTGGCACAAAGCGGGTACCGGGTAGAGGGACTTCTGCCCCCGGTCAAAAGTTGAAACGGTGAAAACTTCTGATAACAAAATCACCAAAATGACTTTCGCAGGGAACAAAAACTGTTTGCTGCAACGTTTGCTGATAACAAAATGATTGCTGCATCCCAGGACCCTGGGAACCCAAGTTTGTTGATAGATTTTGGCGGTGGGTGTTGCGGGAATTGTTGAAATCTATCAGGTCTTGTATTGCAAGAGGCGTCCTATCTTTCCAATTCATCTGTCAAGTTTTTCTCATAGTGCTCATTTTCTAGCATCGCATTCGTTGAGCCATCATGTTTGCATCACCACAAATCGTTTCCCATCTGCTCATGTCCCAACAAAGCCTTGCCAGTCTGCACTTCCAGCATGGAGGAAAGGCTTGCCTCCAAAATGCGCAAGATCTGCAACAAAAGAAAAACAGGCAGAAGGATCGGCAAGAATCGACACAGAATCAAAACGTTGGACATTGGATCTGAGTTGGCCATGTAAGGTGAAACATGAAGACTCCAAAGATCTCCAAAGGATCTAAACAGCATCAGCTCAAGTTTTGGCGTCTCCGCTCAGGAGCGGTTTCATATGGTTTCATGGGTTTGAACTGCTTTGAAGAATTTCGGGGATCAGCAAGACCTTGTACCAGCTGAGTTGTGAGAATGCTGTGCAGGAATTGATCTTGCAGCTCCAAACCCAAAGTCGCACAGCCAGTCACAACAAATGTTCAACTTCCAGTTCTGTTACAGCTGGACTCGGTGGTTTGAAGACTTGCTGCCTGCAAAGCCTGCGTTTTTGCCACAGAACTCATGCCCAGGACCTCATCATGCGCATGAGCAAAAGTGTGCATCTGCATCCTGCAAGTGCCACGACACTTCAAGCATCACAAATCATCACAAAACATCACAAATCATCACAATACAAATGAAATGTCAATCTGTTGATGTGTACATGCGTACGCAACAGTATCAAAACAATGCAAACGCTGCAAACAAATGGAACGTGAAAAGACGGCAGCCTACTGTATCAGTGGTCGAGGATCTGCCTGCATATTTCTGCTGTGCTTTTAGTTCGCAACATCTTTTGGAGTTCAGTGTGCATCTTTGATCATCTTTGCATGTAAACTTGACGCGCTGATCCATGCTTCCTACATGAAGCACCGCTATCACTTCCTCTTCAGGCTCAAAGCCCGGAACTTGGAAGGTTCATGATTGTTTTTGTATCTTTTTGTCGTGAGTTTTATTTGAATTGTAGTTGGAGTTGGGCTGGATTGGCACAAGGTGTGTTTGGGTGCTCTTGGTATTGCGAGAGACGGGCTCGCATTCTGTGGCGCGCAGTGGTAACCACATCTGATCAGCATCTGGTGAGCCTAATGTGACACTCTGACATGGCATTGCTGAGGACTCATCTGCCTGAGGTGTTGAAGCAAAGCTAATCGTTGCCTGTTGCAAACAGCCACATGTGGATTTTCAACAAATACATTTTGAACCGTTTTGCATACATGATTCCCACCTTGGAAAAGGGGTCTTTGAGAAATTTCAACCATGTCGACGAAAAGGATTAAGGGAATTAAGGGTTCGAGAATGGAATCATATTTCGACTTTCGTTGAGCCAGTTGAGCCTTACCTGTTTAACCAGAACTGTATTCTTCGCCGCACCGGCACTGCCGGCACTGCCGGCACTGCCTCGATGCCATCAGGTTGATCGCCATCTTTTTCAGGCGACTCCGGCAATTGCCCTTCTGGAAGAAACCACATGGGCTCCCTTGGTGCAACACTTGACATACTGGCCAAGTTATCATGAGTATTCATAAGTTATCCAAGTTCTTGTCACAACATCTTGGAACTTTGTTTCGGTCTGAAAGGAAAAAGAATGGAACATTCCTGAACCTTGCGCGAACGAGTATTTGCTTGTATCGGATTGGGAGGATCCTGAAACCGAGCACATGTTTGATTCAGTTTGGTCACTTGACAGATCTTGACACCTAAGACAGCTAAGTCAGGGACATGGTTGTGGGCAACCCAGCCGGCAAAGTCGTAGCTGTAGTGGTGATGGTGAACGTTGTCACTGTCACAGTTGTTGCAGTGGTAAAGGTTTGAGTCGTGACCTGGGTATCAAAACGAGACTGTCAAATCTGCCAACAAGGCCGAGAAATTAACAGGAAAACCAAAAGAAAAAAGAGAAATAAAACTGTCTTCAGTGTTTCCCTCATATTGTCTTTGCAAATTTTGATGCCAAAGAAAACATGTTTTTTTTGGTAGCAATTCTAGAATACATAACGTGAATCACTTTACTTGACGTCTCAAGGCTAAATCTACTACTGTAATGCGAAGCAAACACAAGAAAATCGATGTAAAGTGCGATGAATGAATATCTGAATATATCTGAATAATTAGCAAACTTGGGCCGACTCCAGACTGTAGGCTCCGGCTGTGCTAGATGGAGGAATCGTTGCCTCTTCCAGAGGCACAAAAGGGGGTCAAAAGCGAAAGTCACTGAAAGTACATGAAAGTACCTTCTACATCCTGGTACAGTTGATATAGTGTTTGTATGGGTTACAGTGGCCTACACACTTGCAAACATCCTATTCTGCTTCTGCAATATCTTGGCGGCAGCTGCTGCTGGTCCCACTGTGGTACTACCAAATCTGCTGTAATAAGCAGATTCCCGATTTCACCAATTCCCACATAATGGGAATCTGCTTATTACAGGTCTGATTTAAGGGTACCCCATTCTAGCAGATCCTTATTTGAGCGTTTTTGAGTGTTTTGGGGGTGTGATAAGCAGATGAAAATCTGCTTATAACCTGTCCGCGACTATATACTATAGGTCCATACAACCGTTTTCGCAAGATAACATGCGTATCCATGCGTACTATGTCCACATCCAGGGCAGCTACATGCACTTCTTCTCCCCCCACACTCCAAAAAATAGCTACGACCACTGGCGCCACCACTGCCACTACCAGCACAACTACTATCATCTATCAAGGAAACCCCAAGAACAGGTCACATGTCGCATGCTTGTGACAACAAGTCCCTCGAAAAAGTAGGTAGAACTCTTCCAGGGGTGATACCTGCGTGTATATCAGGACAATGCAATGAAGAAAGTATAGATTGCATGGAGATACTGTGTGCAGAAACTTGAAGTGGAGTTCACCAAATGTTCATTGCTTTTTCAGCCCGTCGTAACATGATCAGCAGGGCGTCAAAAATGTGTCATGCTTGCATCATGTGTGTCACTGATCCATGATGTCGCGCTTGTGATCCTTGATGCTCTTGCCTCATCAGAGTCATCGCCCCAAATGATCGTATTGCTCCATGCCTCCGTGACGAAACAAAGGGACCAAGGAAAAGAACACAAACGATGGATTTTGATGGATCTTGATGGATCTTGGACCTGGTGGATGGTGGGTCTTGGTCGCTTTGTCAGAAGTGACTAGTCGGTGGCTCAGCCGTCATTTGGCCACACGGCCGTTCCACAAGGCCGCTTCGCAAGACTTCATACGTTAGAATATGAATATCTCAGATATCTTTACATTTGACATCATTTCACATCATTTCACATCATTTCACATCATTTCACATCATTTCACCATCTGCAACGGCACTGGCGGTCACCGGTCTTGGATCCCTGACACTGTGGGCTGCTTCACCCGACACCTGTACCACATGGGGCAAGTGCAAGCTTGAAGTCACTCTCAGAATCACTGTCGAGAAGAGACACTATTACAATCAATGCAAACCATTGCAAAAACCATTGCAAAAACCATTGCAAAAACCATTGCAAAAACCATTGCAAAAACCATTGCAAAAACCATTGCAAAAACCATTGCAAAAACCATTGCAAAAACCATTGCAAAAACCATTGCAAAAACCATTGCAAAAACCATTGCAAAAACCATTGCAAAAACCATTGCAAAACCCATTGCAAAAACCATTGCAAAAACCATTGCAAAAACCATTGCAAAAACCATTGCAAAAACCATTGCAAAAACCATTGCAAAAACCATTGCAAAAACCATTGCAAAAACCATTGCAAAAACCATTGCAAAAACCATTGCAAAAACCGTTGCAAAAACCGTTGCAAACTGCGAACTCAGGAAGCTAAATTGGCAATGCATCCTGTGGCAAACTCTGTGACTCGCCTCAGAATATTGCAAAGCTCTCACCCTGGCGTAAGCAAAGGCTTCCACCTGTTGTGGGCAAAGTGAGACGATTGCACTCCCAGCCTTGATCTCTCTCTGTTCCATACAAGGGTATACAAATGCACACAATCACATAATATGAATTGACTTACAAAATCTTACAAAGGTTATAAGCGGGCGTTTCTATTTCGTATCATTTCAATCCAATGATTCCAATGGTTGCATGCTGAGCTGGAGTTCGGTTTCCACTGCCTCGGGCAAGGCTAGCTCGGTGTCTCGAACAATCTGGGTCTGGTAGTTTGCGAAGCTGGGGACCTCGCAGTTGAATCGACACTTCGACCCATGAAGTTGTCCCCGTTGTTCCTGTGTTTCTTGTGACGTTTTTTGAGGTCTTCTTGAAAGTGACGAGTCGACGATCCGGAGCTGGGCATCTGATGGGTTGAACAGACCGAAGCATCGCAACAAGGTCGATGTGAAAAATGACACGAGGGGGCTTACAGCCCTTCTACATATGCATAGCTTCATCAAGCACTAGTTGATGTATGTTGCTGCATGTTTCCGTACTTTCGACTACGCGACTCCAAGTCGTATCTGATTTCAAACGGCCCAATGGCCTTAAGCTGAAAGTGCTCTGACATGGATCTTGACATGGCCGACAAAAAAAACGGCCATGAGAACCGTGAAGTAGCAAGGCCCAGCCATGTCTGGCTACCCACTTTTTATCTGTTTGATCTATTTGATGTGCAGCTGACCTGCAACTGATCTGCTTCCGATTGTGCTGATGCCTGCAGCCTTCTGCATCTGAACCGTTCCTTTATTGCAACCAAGCTGCGTTTGAGAACCAAACCTCGAAGCAAGGAGTTCTGCAGCGAACCTCCTGATGTTGCAATTTGCGTCCATAGTTTCACGCTTTTCTTCAGTCTCGTAGAGTCTTGTCCGAAAACGGCAAGAAATGCGAGGTGACATGTTTTTGCTAGCGGGTGGAAAACCGCGCGTGTAGTCGTGTTACTTTTTGAATATGGGGTTTGGGTGGGGTGGGGTGGGATAATAACGTTCATGTGACTTGCGTACACACGTGATGCTACGCTGCTGCTACGTCAGTGGTTGGGGGTTGGGTGGGGTGGAGTGGGATAATAATGTTCATGTGACTTGCGTACACACGTGATGCTACGCTGCTACGTCAGTGATTGGGGGTTGGGTGGTGCGGGGTGGGATAATAACGTTCATGTGACTTGCGTACACACGTGATGCTTTGAAATGTGTGCTCACGACCCACAAGCATGGTCGCAAAAACATCTTGGTGACAGACGGTGCCCCATGCTACCCTAAACTCACCTCTGAAAATAATATGATTCATGAATCTTGCAATCATAGTAAGGGCATCTTTTGCATCAAGAAGAGAAAGAAATGGGGTACCTTGCTTGTGCACACCAGTGGTATCGATATGTATCGATGGTATGAGGAAACTTTCCAAAGGTGCAGTATCAAGTTCTTGGAGTGCACGCAAAGGTGGTGCTGTTAACCCTCAGTTGCTTCAAGGAATTCGAATTTGGCAACGGCGATGGCACCATGGAAATTACAAAGACTTCCTCAGTCTCACCGGCCACGCTCTAAGCAAACGCTTGGAGAAGTAAGACGTCCAAAGCAGAAGTAAAAAGCGAACACCATCCCAGAAGCACAAAACTCTGCAAATACCACATCGTTCCTTCAAAGCCACTTAATTTCCCCCGGGAAAATTCAAGGTAATGTTGATCTAAAAATGTGTACGGCGCCACAGCGCCAGAAGAGTTGTTTTTTTCAAAAAGTGCTTATACTACATAACCGCTAGCGCGGTTTCCCACCCGCCGGGATGTTTTTTATGAGGCCTTTCTTTTGTGAGCTGTTGGTGAGTTGCGTGTCCATCAATCTGCCAGAGGAAGGATCCACAAAAGTTGTCGCTCCATCTCGATGGTGCCAACTGTCTCTTTGCCATGCGTAGGTGGCACGGTCCAATGCAGTGTTTGCCCTTTTGTAGACGCCTGCGAAGCTTTCTGCAAAACTTTCAATCCCCGTGGAGAATCAAAAGTCTGCAACAATGTGCAACAATCACAACCAAGATGCCATATAATCCATATGCGTAAGGGTGATGTAGGGCCGAGCCATTTGCCATTCTTTTTGTTTGTTTCTTTACTTCTTGCCGCTTGTCATGTCCTTTTGTCTTTCTGCTCTCTGATTTTTCCCGGTATGTCTAGTCTGGCCACAAAATCCTGGCTGCCATGTTGTCTACCATGTCATGACGCATGCTTCTAGCACGCCCATCACACCAAACCAAACAGGTAGTTTGTCCATTTGATCAGCCAAGACAGGTGCAGATAGGTGCAGATAGGTGCAGATAGGTGCAGATATTCAGAAGTTTAGAGCCGTTCAAGCTGCCCGGCCTTCACATCCGCTTTGCAGTACTCTGCCTGGACCAAGTCGCAGAGTGCGAAAGATATCCGGTCTCAGGAGGTCTCAGGCCTTTTTTTCTCACCCTTTTACTCTTGCAGTTTGCAGCCCAAATTGTCCTTTTCACTCTTGCTATCTCTTGCTTTAGACTCTTGCTTGTCTAAAAGAAAATTGAAAAGAACATCTGATCAGCCTACAATATCTGATAGATTTATCTGGGATCCTGGCTGCTTTTCCGAACGGCCCGGCAGCCTGTGGGAACAGCGGAACTAACTATACCAAGAATGACGGTATCATCACCGTATCATCACGGTATCAATAGGATCGGTAGAAACATCTCTTGCAGATGGAAGGCTCTGTACAGCCTGCAACAACCTGCCAATGGATTGTATATATATAAATATATAAGGCCAGTATGATCAAGGGAAATCATCTGTTTTTTCTTCTCAAATGGTCCATCCTGAGCTCTTAAATGTCTTGCCAATCACAGCAAAAGTCAAATCTCAAACACTAGCTGGTATTTCTAGGTTTTGGTTCCGCATTCTATTTGTCTTCTGTTTCTTTTGCAGTCTTGTGGCACTATTTGCTATCTGCAGCATCAAGAATGTCTGGCGTCTGCCTCCGGGTTGCAAAAACTGCAGGCTCTGCAAACGGTGTTGCAAGCGGGACAACCATTCTTGCACTCATCTGGACAATAGCCTCTCATCGAAGCCAAGACTGGGGTGAGATTGGAAATTGAAGCTGATCGAGACGTTCTAATATGCCAATATTTCAAGTCGCCTGGTCCTGCTGTTCTTGTGGTTCGATAATTTTTACGTGTGACTTACGACTGCCTCTCAAGGGAAAGTATGCAAAAGGAGCTTTCTCGTGCGTTTGTCACTCTTACAAAGACTCTTACGACCGCAACTCGTCCTTCTGCTTGAAAGGTGATGAGTGGTGAAATTGTCGTCTCCGAACCTGGCGCTAGAAAAGGGAGAAGTAAAATAGCAGAGGTAGATCAGTGGAAGATTTTGAAGCAAACTAAGAATCTGAACATGATCCAAGGTGGTTCTTTAAAAAATGGTGAACCCCAGCTCCAATATCATGAAAGATTGTCAAGAGATCATGTAAAATCTACAAACAAAACATGCATCATGCATCATCATGCATCATGCATAAAACAGAAACAAAACACAAACAGATCATGCAAGACGCATTGCTTTGAACTTCAACATATTTTTCCTCCCTCAGAGACATCTCCATGGCCTGGCAGGGTAGGTGGCCCACGGTACCTGAGGCACTTAGACGAAGCATCGAGCAGTCGAAAGAGTCGACCAAGGTCGCTGTCAGGCTGTCAGGTGGAGTCACCATGAAGTCACGACATGTTCGCAGTCAATCCCTGCCGCGGATGATTTGAGGTTTTGAACCCTCCATGAA